AGTGCAGTGAGGGATGAGGTTACAAATAGAGAACAATATAAACAGTGAAACCTACTCTGAAGTAACCCGGGATCTCGCCTTTGTTATTAGGTGTTACACTATCGTAAAAGAAATCCTAAGCAAGGTTTCTAAAGAGGGTTGATTCTCTGCTCATCGTTATATTTATTGACCTGAGCAGACGTACACAGCTTATTCTATAGACTGATACGGTAAATCTTGCTACATCTGCCTGATGCTGTGATAGGGACCTGTAGTCCTACAATTCTTATCAGTTTAGATTGTGTTTGCCACCTAGTTTGCAGCCAAATATCTAATACCATGGGAAAGAAGGAAAATTGGTGGAGCTTGTTTTTAGGCAAGACTAAAAGGAATTCTACAAGGTCACTCGAATATCATTGTCATGTGAAACAAACCACAGGAAGAAATTTAAGTGGGGCCTTTATGTTCAATTGTATATCTGCGAAGAAAAACTCCCTGTATAGCATTTAAATAATTTTTTTTCTTTAACTTGATATAAATTTCAGGGGATGCTTCAGAAGTTCTTCATGTAATCTTAGAATATGCAAAGCATCCTTGTATTGTATTTGCTGTGTGCAAAAATTGGCACCCTTGTTTGCCCACAAATACATACACTAAGTCCTTACACTTCACAGTAAATAGAGTGGAAAGCTTTGAGCTTCTTGACGGACCAATAAAATGCCATATAACATGGAAAGATTATTATTAACAATAATAATGCGCAGCAAAAGATTTACTTTTTTACCCTTTGCATTGATAAATAATAGCATTGCTAACTGAAAGCAATAACGCATTGAGATTGTATTGCAACAGAGTGATAAAAAAGTGGTGCTAAAATTGCAGTATTTCTCAGTGGTAGGTAGCTCAGTGGTTAAAGCACTCGCCTCGCAAGCGAGAGACCTGGATTCAATTCTCGGCAGGGCGAAACCTTGGGCAAGTTTTCCTTACTCCACCCCCCTGATAATAATCCCTCAAGATAAAAAATCTATCTAATAATTTGGTCACTCAATCCACGACTGTTTGTGGGACACTGCTGTGCGCACAAAATGTACAGTCAGTTCACTTGACAATATATTCTGTCAAATGCTTTGAGACGTCTAGAAGACGTGAAAAGCACTATAGGAGATGCAAGGATTATTATTATTATGACATTATCACGTCTTCTAGATATCTCAAAGCGTTTTACAGAATATAATGTAAAGTAAATTGATTGAATATTTTGTGGACGAAATGTGGCTTCAATGGACATTGCTGCCACATTTGCCTACAAATATCGAGTCATTCCACTTCACAGTAATGCCTGCCGAGCACTTTAAGATGTCCTTCTGACGTGATAAGATGCTATACCAATTATTTTAATGGTAAAAGAAAATACCAAAGCAGTGTCCTTCAGATAACCTTGAGGACAAAATAGTTGTTTCTTTTCAGTGTGGAGTACATACAGTACATTCCTTGTACACAAAACAGAACATACTCATTTTGTGTCAAAAATTGTTTCTGAAATCTTGTAAAAGTATTATTATATACTTAATAACAGTATTTTTATGAGTTTCGATAGAATATCAAGAGTTGAAAGAAGCAAAGTCCTGGACTTATAATGCTTCCCCAGTCCCTGTACAGCAGTAATTTGCTACGATCAATATTCAATATTTTTCAGTCTACAATGCTATCACTGTCAAAAGCAATAATAGATTTATGAACAGTGCAGCGAGACTGCATTACATTGAAATCATAATATGGGAGTTCTCTAACACTCCACAGCAGAAACGATGGAGAAGGCTGACGTGAAAATGAATCTTAAGGCTTGCCAACAAGTGAATTGAACGAACATGATAACGTAAGAAATGACCAAAGACTCCTGAGACAATTAGTAGCCATTAACAACAACAAATTGCATTTATATAGCTCCTTTCACCTTGGGAGGACATCTCAATGCGCTGGACAGTTGAGGTCTTTGCACCTGAGCTGGGATTTGGAGTTGGGAGGGGTGGAGGTGACGAGATGACCAAAGGCCCCGGCCAAAGAGGGAAGTCTCGAGTCAGACCTTGAAGGAGCCAAGGAAAGGGGTGAGCCGAAGGGACTCTGGGATAGAGTAAGGGCAGAAAAGCTGAAAGCCCGACCGCCAATGGTGGAGTGGACAGGGTGGGGTACGTGAAGCAGGCCAGTGGCTTGTCGAGCAGGTGGAACATTATCATATATGACTATTTGAAAACAAAGTTAATCTCCGTGTTGATCTGAACAAGATTCCTTGTCTGCAGGTTTATAAAAATATTAATGCAGTAAATGGGAAATAGATGCTTAATGAAAATCATGGAAGTGTTACTGGAAACAGCCCAAAAATGACATGTTCAGGAGTAGACAGAGGAACTCAATTTTACTGCTAATGGTGACATCCATTAGTAATAATTGAAGCACACTTCACTTCATTTTCCAATGCTTTTAGTATATGTGGAAAAATCATTAAGAAGTGGAAGTGAAGAAAGAAATGATAGGTCAAGATGCTACAGGTGTAGAAGGTACAGTTACCACAGTCAATTAACAGAGGCTATAGTCTGCTACTTGCCAATGAGATAATCAACTCATCTCCCTTGAAGTGATTGAGAATAGAATTGTGTTTCAGCCATGCTCAGCCTTATTAGTAACTTGTCACTGGTGGATCTAAAAGAATGGTTACAGGTTACGGGTTAAGGTGATGCAGAGGGCAATTTCAACATCCATTACTTTTTCAGTCAGAAAGAACATAGACAAACATTAATCACTTCTCTGATGCCAGAAATCAGATCTTCAACCTACCCTCTGCACTTTTGCCAAAAATAAAACATGATGTGCTTGGTGATCAGATGAACTATGAGCTTTCGATCGATTGTGCATGGTTGGTAACTGCTGTAGACATCTCCTAGGATGGCCTGAGTTACCTCTCCCACATGTAATTGACAAATAATATACTGTTCTATCAATGATGGCCCACAAATACACAGTACACTCGACACTGCACTCTTCACTACACTTTATAGCAAATCCTATGAAGTCTTTCAACGAGGTGATAAAATGCTTTATGAAATGGAATCATCATTATTGTTATTATTTACAAAATCGTGACAATGAGCAACAACAGACAAGAGGAACATCAGAAAGAGAAACACAACAAAGACATTGATTTGTGGTTGTATTCAATCATTAACAGGCAGAACAGGGCACCAATTTAAGAAAGGTCTTCTATCTCATTTGGTTTTCATTGTATGTTTTTTTACTGCTTAGCAGTACTGGATTCAGTGTTAAGCTTTTAAAAATGTATTTGATGTTTTGTTTGATATTAGCTGTTGAATCCAAAGGTTTTGGTTTGTACAAGCCCAGCACTTTGCTCTGGGAGCTCAATAAATTGTACAGATGATTTCAACTCACAAAATCATAAGATCGGTTTGGATATTGAGAGCCCTTCAGCCCATTTCATCTCATCCTTCCAGAATGTCCATCCTATCATTCTTCTCCATCACAGCTTCAAGCTGTTTTTGAACGGGTCCAGTGTACAGAGTTTACAGTTGTATAATAATTATAATCCTTGCATTTGATATAGCACCTTATCACATTGTTAAGACGTCTCAAAGGACATCACAAACTGTATGGTAAAGCGTATTCACATATTTTGTGGGTGAAATAGTTAAAGCAAATATGCGAAAACCCTAATTATTTAGTAACATTGGTGTTTTAATGACTATTGTCTTCCAGGTACTTGTGGGAGCATGGAGTGTATTTTAAGAGATCTATAACTCATTCTCCACTATAATGTTTAAGTGAGTGAGATCCAGATGTCTGGATTGGTGATGAACCTGTGTTTACTAATGCTAGTACTGAAATCCGCAACTCTGTGCTCGGGATAAGCCTCCAAGTGAATCATTCACACAGATCAAGGCTAAAGGAAGGTTTGATCAAAGTGAATGGACATTTACGGTAGTGAAGGCTATTCATTCATTCACCTTGTGAGTTCTTGTCAGGTTAATCAGCCTGTGAGCAACAACATTTCCAAGTGGCATAATGATGGGTGAACAAAGCATTCATGTTCAACGTGTGAAGAAACTTGCACATTTGGCTGCCTTGATCTGGATTGAATCCTTAATTTCGACCTTGTTCATTTCTAAATCTTCTGACTATTCAGTGCTCAGTGCTTTGTTTGCAAGTGCAAACCTATACAGCATGAATAATCCATCAAAGGGAGATGAACATGTAATGGAAGTTATTTTATGTGTTCTTTTATAGCAAAGCAAGAGAGAATGTTCCTTTCAAACCAAATGATAAGCTTGTCGGCCTGGCAGGCACCAGTTCTAGCCGTATGGTTCACTCTAAGAAGATGCTGAGAGGCAGTAGCTAACTGATTCCAAGAGTCCATGTAAAATTCATATCAGCAGCACATTCCAAGCCCTCAATCCACTAATGGTTCTACGCTTGAACACTCGGTTTTTGTTCTAGCAAAGACGACAGTGGGAGCACGCAGCAAATACAAAACACCCAGCCTTCTGTTCCCAAATGCAATTTCATTTGACTTGACAATTTCATTTGCTGTGAAATGAGTAAATAACATTATCGTAGATCAGAAGCTTCTTCTTCCTCACTGTCGTTGTCAGATTAGCCTTTCAAAATTGCCCCCTTCATTCACTCAGGAGAAGTCTGTGTTAATCTGTATTAATATGTCTATAGAATGGCATTAACCTAAATCTCGTTTTGTTACGAAAACAAATAAATGCCATCTGTGATGAGTAACCAGAACAGAATTCATGCAATCATCATTCTTTGGCATTGCTCCTAATAATTCAATCCATTCCCTTATCCTTTTTATTTGTTCAGGGTGTATGCTTATGTAAGCCACATGTTTGCTGCAGAAGTCTTATTAAATATCTTATTACTAAAACTCCTGATGTCAATTTTTTTTATTGAAACCATGTGTGAGTTTGCATTTTAAAAAGGTTATTTTCTACTCTTTCATTTAGAAGTAGATGAAAAGAGGGAGAACAATCCACAAGGAAAGGTAAGTTAATCAGTACGTTCATTATCTCTGTCATGCAATTCTAAAGATAGGTTGACTACTCTGTCTGTATTATTTTACTATGATTACGAGTATAGTATTTAATAAACCCCTTGGAGACACACGCACTTTAGTAGTACTTTTACATATTATGGCATTGCCTGAGCAAATCTGGACAGTTTTCATAGTCCTTCTGTTATTCCAAAAGATGATTTTTACGAGCAAAGGACTTGAACATCTTTGCAATCATTTTTCAGAATAAGGTCACATCTAAGTTCTTGTTGAGTGAACGTTTACAGTAAAATGGAAATTGGAAATACATTTCAAATCTAAGTTTAGGAATACTGTATATAGGGCAGAATTGTATGACATCTTATAACTAATTTAATGTGATATCTGTTATGAAATGCTGCAAACGTTCTCCCCAATAGAATTGTGTTACAACACTGCAATATTCTACGCAACATTATCTAAATGCTGTTGTTTTGAGCTGTATTAATCCTGAGAACTTGAGGAATTTGTCAATAACTTGAGTATTACATTGAATTATACAGAATGCTGTAGTGAGCAAATGTTCTGTATGGTCCAATATCAAACTACTGTATCTGAAATTCCAAGGGATAATTATGTACATTTTAGACCAGGTTTAGGTCAGTAGGATTGTTCACATTTCTGCATTTTAAAGAACAATCTCTGAAAGTAACTCTTTGAAAGAATTAATAGCGTCCTCTCGACGTGAAAGGCGCTTTACAAATGTAATTTTGTTCTTGTTGCTGTTAATTGTTCTTTTGGTTGTTTCCTAGAATGCCGAGATGTCACCTCAACAGCGAAAGAAGAGTGTATACACACCTCCAACTATGAAAGGTACTGTTCAGGTACTGTTCCAAGTTCTGCTTGTGCATGTCTCCTTTCCTTGGCCTTAGGACATCCTGACACAGTTTACATTCCCAAACAACTCGGTACTGAACTGGACCAATAACGAATTAACTTCTCATCCAAGAAGTGAACACGGCAGCTTTGAAGAATCGAACATGGGCTCCGTAGTTCTTTTAAGATGAAGTAAATCTCAAAATACAATGGAATCTCACTCATAAGGTCAACAATTTTACTGAGGCATCTTGACCACACACTGGTGAGTTGACCTCACCATGCAGTGCATATTAACTGCACTGTAATAATGTAATGGGTAAATGAAAATCTGCAGGACAAACTGACCACATTCGCGAGTTAACCACACAACCCATTAGTGGGATGACCTTAAAATGAGGTTCCACTGTAATGCCTGTGATGTCATGGTGACTAATGACTAACGGTTTGCACTAGAAACAAAAGGGTAATTGAACTAATGCAATCGATTCATTTTCATTGGCTCAATTATTACTCTTTCAAAAAAAACAACAGACTTGCTGGAAATGGACAAGTCAAGCAGTATCTAAAAGGGAAACACAGGTTAATGTTTCTGGTGTAACCCCTTCGTCAGAATTCATATGAAGTGCTCTCGATAAGCTCCGTCTGCGAAATGCATCAAATCTAGTACCATATTCAATACATACAGTTCCTTCAGGATTTTTAATGATCGGGGCTATATTTGTATAAGCATTAGTTGCATTCAGTTGTGATGTAATGTCTGGTGCTGGTGAGATAATATCATGGTTGACCTTGTCTGTAGATGGGGCTTTTGGAGACATTATATTCTGGGCTGACCTTCTGGGCCTTATTTGGCCCCCACTATATCACTCCAGGGCCTTTGTTATACTATAATTTCATGTCAAATTATGCTCGAACAATAAAAGTAATAGGGTGCAGCTGCCAATCCAGGCACACTATTACAGCTGCTGTGCCCAGAATTACCTAAGATGGTAGTCAAGGAGCTGTGTAATGCTATTTTAGCTCCACTTGAGTAGCTGCAGGTCACACGATGACCAAAATTCATTGTGAATCACAGAATCATAAAGACGGGTACATATTGTACCAGCAGGAACTACCCCTTCAGGCTGGTGGCCTAATTATGGACCAATTACATGAGAAGGTACATGTCATGTTCGTGAAATTACTCTGAAGAACTTTACAAGCTGTTCCGTGACAGCAGATAGCGCCCACGTCAGAATGATAGACCCCAAATTACCCCAACTGTTATTTGACTTCATCAGATTTATCTGCTGTCGATCCAGATTCCCCTCTACCTCAACTGAGAGCCTAATATTGTTCAGGCCAATGATCTTCTGTATAAGTAACCTTAAATGGCTCTCTGTGATTGATGGACCAGTAGAGTTTATGGATTACACAGACTTTATAAAGTTTTACTGCCCCTTGATATGAAGCACTCTGCTGTTGGATCACATTCTGTGTGTTGACCAGCGAAGAGCTTGCTAATTTTGCACACCGAGAGGCCATTCAAGTTCAAATAACAGATTCATTTTGTTGACAGTGTAGGATCCGAGGTCTCAAGGTCATTGGGAGGGAAAGCAGAAGAATTCAGCAATCTCTACTTATTCTTACTCACTTGGTAATAAATATGCACACAGCAAACTAACTGTTGCACCTAACAATCTAACATATGTATGCAAACACTTGTGTGCTTTGTCGTTTAGTGATATGAGGAATGACAAATATTTTACAATCTATTAATGCTATTGAGTGTAAGGAAATCTAGAAAACAGATGCGAAAACAGTGGTGTATTGTATGGACTTTGTTTGCTAATTCTGTCAGAGGATCTGGGCAGTGAGAAGTCATGATTTGAATATCTTGTGTGACTGAGTTGTGTTGGTTGTTTTATCTGTTGTGGATCTAGTTGTAAGCTTTAACAATGCAGTTAGATAAGGTTTATGTACCAACAGTTTATGAGAATTGCAGTCGTATACTTATATTGCGGCCATTGATTCTTTATGCTTTAGACCGCTTTAAGAATCAGAATGCAAAAACAGAATCCTACAAAGCGCTCTGGATTTCTGCACAACAATCTGCTCATTGTGTGTTTCACTGAAGAAAATAGCTCACAGTGTTTGAGCTCCATTTGCTGCTGTAAATGCTCTGAGACGCTGTTCAGAAGTGCAAGTTGTTGTTAAGGTGAAACTAAAGATATGATCCAAAGTGATTACTACAAAAGTACAAAGGTCCACAAAACAGCAGTTACACATTATTGATAAAATATGAGGCGGGCAGACCAATGGAATAATAATTTCTTCGCTGCATTCCAGAGATAGGATCCATTTGTAGTCTTTGATAGCTTTGTGTCCAGAAGGGCTTAAAAAATCTTTTATTTATGCCATAGTGGGAAATGCCTAGTGATAATCAGATGAATGTAACGCGTTACCAAGATGGTAACACTGACCTGATCGAGTTCTTTGTGTGAATAGAAGCAGAACGGAGTCATTTGACTTTCACGTAAATTGGGAAAGGAGGGCAGCAAAGTTTAACGGATGTATTTGGATGGCACATGACTCACTGAAAATTGCTTGGCATTTTCAGCCGCTTACCATCATTGAAGTCACTGAACAAACAGAATGTTGCTGGATTTTTTTTATGGTCTTTTGTAATGTGCAGTTGGAGCAGTGGGATCGTAGAGTCCTGTAGCTTAGTGGTTAGAGCTCTCACCTCGAAAGCGAGAGGATCCGGGTCCAATTCCTGGGCGAAGCGAAAGCTTATGCAAGTTTACTTACTCCACACACACCCACTGTTTATCTAGTAGTAAGTACGAACCCACTTGACGATAGGCGGATCGCTTTCCGGGGATAATAATCCCTCCAAAATAATAATAATGCAGTCACTCAATCCACGACCGTTTGTGTGACACTACTGTGCGCAATGGGCTACTGTGTTTCTCCCACAAAATACACAGTCACTACACTTTACAGTGTATTCTATGAAAGCGCTTTGAGACGTCTCAAACATTTCGCTCTGTGGAAATGCTGAGCTGCAGAGTAGGAGCGGACTCTTGACTCAATGCTGTATCATCTTAGAAAAACGCTGAAGTGCAAACTAGGAGTCCTGTAGCTCAGTGGTTAGAGCACTCGCCTCGCAAGTGAGAGACATGGGTTCAATTCCCGGCAGGGCAAAACCTTGGGCAAGTTTCCTTACTCCACACGCCTAATAATAATCCCTCCAAAACAAAACAATAATACAATTGGTCACTTCAATCCACGACTGTTTGTGGGACATTGCTGTGTGCAATTGGCTGCTGCATTTTGCCCACAGATATACAGTCAATTCACTTTACAGTCTATTCTGTGAAGCGCTTTGAGATGTCTAGAAGATGTGAAAAGCGCTATATCAAACGCAAGGATTATTATTATTATTAATATTATAATAAAGTTGAGGCTGGCAGCTGAAGTCGGAGACCAGCCACCAATAGGGCAGAGCTTTCAATCATTTGTGATGTTATTAAAGTGGAATTTAAAATGTCACTTGATGAGGTGATTCTGTAACAAATTTCAGTTTACAGTCTGAAATGTAAACCGTTACAATAAATTGATTGTTCCTCCAAGGCAATGTCTCACCATGATTGAGGAGTAATTGTGGTAATTCTGTCAAACCAGCAGCCGAGTGCACTATTGTAGTTGGATGACTACAAGATGAATAACTCCTCTGATCTGTTTGCATAAACAAATAATGTATTCAATCATCAAGTGCCATGTGAGACAATTTGCAATTTAAAAACAGTTGACAAAGATGGTAGAGTAATTTAATTAGCATTCTTCGTGTATGCTCTGTATACTGGGGCAGGTCTTGTAATTAACTTTCACTTCTGCGGTATGTAAAAGTGACACAGCGACCAACCTCAATTCTTTTGACTTTTAGAAGTATTGTATTTGCGTAATTCTGACTGTTGAGGTAATTATTGCAAGGTGTTGATACATTATCTGACAGCTGTTTTAAAAAAAGGTTTTTGAAGATTTAAGGTTCTATACCTCCAACGACAGACTTACCTGCAATAAACGTCATCTGCCCGGCAAAGTCATTTTTTTCACTGAAAAAAGAAATCTAAAGAAACAGAGAACTTAGACATTATTTTATGTTCATTACTTTTTGGAATCTGGCCTGAAAATGACCTTTTATTACTTTGTAAAAATTAATCAAAATAAAACCTGTGTGGCTGGGGTTTAAGCATTTGGAGCATGCACCTTGAGGAATGAGAAGGCTTGAATTATTTAGATCTGGGAAATGCAATGATGAGTAATTTATCCTCCTGACTTATGGAAGGATAATTTGCATGTTATAAGCTTGAGATCTGCAAAGCCAGCCATTATACACTGCAATGAATAAACCTAAAAGTCAAATCAAAATTAAAATTGAAAGTAATGGAATTACAAATTAGCCTGAACTTCTTCTAATGAATAGATACCTGCTCTTCAGGAGGCATTCGATGTTAATGGAAATGGCTATTTCAAGGGGATTTAACTCAAGCAGTTGCTTTTTCCTAACCCACTCTTCCAAATGGATGATAAGGGTCTAAAATGCTTCAGTTTCTAATGGAATTCCCATTGACTTTCTGCTCAAATTCTGCTGAAAAGATCATATCAGATCAAAATTTCTATGCGATGCTGTGATACACACCAGAAGCCACCTCCAGCTACACAACTCAGAATTGCTTTAAGAAACACAACAAATTAATTTGATGGCAGAATTTTCAGTGATCCCCGTAAATGAGGAGATGTTCAATAATCGCCTGTTGTTGCCATATATCAGCTCCCCATGCTGAAGGGTTCACAGGGAATGATTGCATTGCCTCAAAATAATCAACCCTAATATTACAGAAGATTTTAATGAATTTAATTCCTGCTTCCTTGAATTACTTACTATATAACTGAAAGAGTACAGATTTGGTTGACTAAAATGAATGATATCCAAGGCTGGTAGGTTATTGCTGTCAGGATATACTGGAGAGGTTAGACCTTTTTTTTGCTCACGAAGGGATGTTAAAGATTGATTGATTATTGATTGATCGATAGATTGATTGACATTATTGGAATTTGACACATGCAGCAGTTGAGTTTGAAAGAGCCTCATTGACCATATTAAAAATAACATTTTAAAATTTGTTTCAGATGTTCTGGAGGCATACTAGAGTCTGTTTTGCATTCTGAAAGCTGAGATGCTTGACTATTGTGGAAAAGCAAAGCTTTCGGCTGTATATTTTTTAAAAAAAGGTTTTCAATGCTGAATTTGTAGTGTTTACTGGTTGCATGCAGTAGTCAAACTATTTCTGAGCCTGGGAGCTAGGACTAATGCAGCCAGACATGCAAAATCTCTCACCGTATTGTTTCACACAGTGCTTTGGAACCATCTTCTGGAACAAAGCCGAGGATTAGGACAACACTTTTGTGTTGTCTTGTGTGTGGAATCTGTGTATGATGAGTACATCCAGGAGCTTTATGGAGTCTGTTTTTCATGCATGTTTGCTAAATTCCAACAGATTTTTACAGTTTTGAACAGAATGAAATAGCTGTACTTACAAAGATAAGTTGCCATCTAAGTATAATTTCTGGAGATTTGTTCGTGAGCTCTGCATTTTTCATTGACTTGGCTGCTGAGATTTAGCACACATCGCTTTAAGGATGTGATAAATACATTCATACCTATTTTGAGGTGTCTGGCAGCAGCTATGAGGGAACAACGACGCAACAAACTGAACGGATTCATAGTTCAAGATAAACTGACAAGGGACAAACTCAAATCAGAAGGTGCCCGTTTTATCGAAATATGAAATGGTTCTGGGTTCCTAAAGGATAAGATAAAACCCGTTTCTGTAACGTGAGCTAGTTCTTAGAAATTGTTGGCCGGCTGTGGACATCCAGATTGTATTACACCACAAATGGCTTTCGTTTGGGTAGATTCCTCATCTGCTTTTGTCAGATTGCCAGCGACCCGACTTGCCTTTGACCTTCACTGGTAAATAAAATTTTATTACGCAGGTGAAAGCACGGTTGCATTCTAGCAGGTATGAACTAATTATTAAACCGAGTGCTCTTGTTGAAGCAGAACTTCAGCTGCTGGTGGAGCAGCATCTTCAGAAGCAGGACGAACCGGATCAGGATTACTCTGAAAGTGACCCCAGCTGTCTAGACGAACTGAGCCCAATGATGACTGAGTGCTGTCACAGCAATGGAGACCCTGCTTTCTTGGCAGACACAGACTGGGGTACTCTCAACTGCTGTGAACACATCAGCAGCCAAACGGGCATCAAACTGCTACTCAGTGCTGAGGACCACCCAGACACCAGCTCTATTGGTGGTAAGTTGATGGCAATTCTAGGATTATTGCCCTATGCATCACTGCATGTAAATGCCACGCGAGTCTTGTGATGTCTTCATGAGAGGCTGAGCCATGACGGTCATTGATCCATTGACCCATGATTTCTCCTTGATTTATTCATCAACATTTGTAGCTGTGAAGCCATCAGATTCTTATTATTTTGTGAAGCTCACATTTCTTCCGGCCTCCATCAGTACATATCCTATTTGAAATCTGAACAAAATGTACTTGAACAGCAACACCCTGTGGTATGCTGACAGTGCAACCTTTTGTGTTTGCTCAGTCAATGACATGTTTACCACGTGCATGTTTTGAGGGAAATCATGCAATGACAAAGACGCATAGGTTTTTTAGGAATTAACAGCACACAAAGATCATTTTACGAATCCAATGCTACAAGCTAAAGGTTTAAACAATTCTATTGTAAAATAGGTCATGCATCTTATTTATTACGAATAAAATACTATTTATGAAAAGCTTTTGTGGAGCACGTATGAGAGATGTTGCATTCATTACGTTCTGTGGCATACATTTTTGATTTAAAATATGTGGATTCACATTTCATCTTTCACTGATCTGATGTGTGATGCTGTAGATATTATTGCAAAAACGTGTATTATATTTTTTAATTAAAATAACTAAAACTAACTATCTACGTTTATGGCATTTCTAATGGCATCCACCATAAACGGTATCAAGGCTTAGATAGTACTGTATTTTTATGTCAAAAAGCAGTAAAGACAAGTATCTGAATGTAAATGTGATTAAATAATGGTGATAATGGGCCACTACTATTTATTAAGTAGTATGTAATGTAATATCAGTGTAGGGAAAAGGTGCAATTAATAACAATGCATCTATTTCACTGAAGCTTTAGAATTATAGGTGTTATGATTGTGAAGCGTATTCATTTACAATTCACGTCAAATTATCAGGTAACTGCATCGCAATGCTGAAGATTCCCATCAATTCCTATCATGAGAGTTTTATGGGAATTTGTACTGCTGCCTTTAAGGTATTCTTACTGGAATATGCTTTAAAAGCACTCTTTGCTTTGGATGCTACAGAAGCCTCTTGCCAAATCTGAGAGCATTACAGGATTTTTGTTAGCATTGGAATGGAATATACTTAGTGTGTCATAAGAACATAAGAAATACTAGACGAAAAACAAACTAAGGTCTATCTAGTTCGCCTCCTACCTTCCTGGCGATCACATGCACATATGTCCCAAACTACCTATGTACTATATTCCCATAATGTTATTTCCTAAAAGAAAACTGTCTAATCTGTGTTTGAATGAATCAATACTTTCTGCTTCAACCGTCTCCCTCAGGAGTCTGTTCCACAGGTTCACTATTTGCTCGCTAGATTCATTCTGAATTTACCCCCCTTCAATCGCAGGCCGTGTCCTCTGGCTTTACTACTCTGGACAATTAAAACAGCCTGTTATGATCTATATTGTCTTGTCCCTTCAGAATCTTAAAAAGAGCAATCATGTCGCCTCTCAATCTTTTTTTTCCAGCGTGAACATGCCCAATTTACTTAGTCACTCCTCATAGTCCAGTCCCTCCACTCCCTCAAGCATTTTGGTTGCCCTCCTCTGTATCTTCTCGATTTCTCCAATATCCTTTTTGTGCTGCAGCAACCAGAACTGTACACAGTACTCTAAGTATGGTCTCACCAATTATTTATACAGTGGCAGGATTACCCCACTATTTCGACTGGTCATTGATCTTTTGATACAGATCAATAATTTTAGGACATCATATGAAATCATTCTACATGCTACAGCTGTTTGTAGTCACAGGCATCAATAGCTATTGTTCAAACCTGCAGTTCAGCCAGGTTATCATGGATAGGACTAGTTCATGGTTTTAGTTAATATTCTTCAACAGGAATTGAGTAATAATAATTCAGTTTTATCTTCAGGCAATAATTCTTTATAACTAATGTATGCGCATTTATCTGCAGAAAATACTAACTATTGATCATTGCAGATGTAATCTGCATATTTTAACCATGTGTGCAACTAATCATTGGCTTTACGTTAACAAGAATATTTGCTATCACACTTTCTATCGAACTACAACATTTCAGTAGTGCATATTGTTCATAAAATCCTTTTGTCCAGATTTTTAGTCATATAGTCTCTGTATTCCAGTAACCTCCTTAAGTACAGAATACGATCTGCTGCTTATGCAGCAAGGAGACAAATACAGATATAGGTTTTCAAACAAGATTCTGTGTGTGCTGATTCAGGTAGGATTTTATAATGATTTCTCTGAGACTGTAAACATCACACTCATTCGTTCATCCATCAGACTCTTTCATCAGAAAAGCCTTGTGTCAAATTAGTTGTCAGAACTCTTCTGTGCAGTATTTTATCTTTTGATGTACACGTAAAATGTTTTCAAAACACCCTTTTCAATCAAATTGGAATCTCAGTGTTTGTAATCCGTGAGAAAATTAGCTTCGTTGAACCTTTTAATGTTGGAAATTGCTATTCACGAGTAAGTATTGTTCCAAAGCACACACAATGAACAAAATTGGAGTAAACTACTGTATATTGATGCAGAAATATTTTTGCTTTTAAAAGAACCTCTTGGGCACAAGTGTCATATCAGAATGAGTTATATTGTAACCGAATTTAATTTGAAACATTTGAATTATTTAATGGCTTACACTGCCATGACCGTGTCTAAGGTAAGATGTATATATAGATCTACATAACTGTGAAAATCAAAGGAAGCCTGTCCCTGTTAAAAGACTGTTCGATGGAACCCAAATGATCTTCACTTACCGAGTTCTTAAGAGTGAATGAGTGCTGAGCATGTGTCTGTATGTGTGTGTGGGGGGAGAGGCAAAATCCCATGGGTTAGTTTCCATTTGAGTTTGTGGTTGATTTAACATCTGCAGCACATCTTCTCGGCTGAGCTGATGATTTGCCACCTAGAATTTAAAGAAGCTTTAGTGAGTCCGTGTGTATCAATTGGCCAAATTGTGTCCTGCCCTTTTCATGTCAAGGTTTGAACGCAGTTAATACTGGGACTGCTTGGAGTTTACTATTAATAAAGGAGACATATCCTATCATTGCCTCCAGGCTGCAGTATGAGATGCTTTTCGACCCCAATTAGTGGTATCTGGATTCAATTGAAGCCAAACACTGCATGAGGATGGAATAGGTATCAAATTCTGTTTCCAGATGTGAATTTTGAGGGAATGCTGTATCCCGTGGTGATATTTTAATGGTGAGAAGCCTCAATCTTCTCTCTTTGTGGGGAGCTAAAGATCCTGATGTTTTATTTTTTGCCTCCTTAGGAGCAAGTTTACAATAGACAAAATTTGGTCAATATCCAGTCAAAAAATAGAGGTGACGACTAGTAAGTTCATCATTATTGTGCTTCCTCCCAATTACTCATCTCTGCACGCATCGTGGAGTCCTGTAGCTCAGTGGTTAGAGCACTCGCTTTGCAAGTGAGAGACCTGAGTTCAATTCCAGGCAGAGGGCGAAACCTTGGGCAAGTTTCCTTACTCCACACAGAGCCTAATAATAATCCCTTCAAAAACCAAAAACAATAATTAATTGGTCATTTTCAATCTACGACTGTTTGTGGGACATTGCTGTGCGCAATTGGCTGCCGCGTTCGCCCACAAATATACAGTCAATTCACTTTGCAGTATGTTCTGTGAAGCGCTTTGGGACGTCCTCCCGATGTGAAAAGCGCTATATCAAATGCAAGGATTATTATTATTATTATTATTGACCTTCATGTGCACAGCCGCCGACTCCACAATCTGCCAGATGTCCAGAGGTGACCTTGCTAATTGCATAATGTTCCCACCTACTCATAGGCCTCATAGCCATGTCAGTAACTCAGTACATAATTGTATGTGCTTGCAAACCACTGGATTAACAGGATTTACAACGAGTGAACCCAACGAATGATCACCTCGTCCTTTCAGCAAAGCTCATTTTTCATAATTATCAAACATTTCCTTCCAATTATTTCTCTCCTGTTACTTGCACAAGTCACAAATTGAGCAATTTCACTGCACGAGAGAACCAGGGCTAACAGAATAGGCCAAGTTGGAAACGTAAAAGGCCAATTATCCTGAGGAAATTACCCCCCTCTAATTTCCTTTGAACATTGGGAGCCCAGAAAACACAAGGCTTGAAGGCTCTAAGGTCTAGGATGCCCTCTATAGTAACTCTGTGTACTGCAGTCTCCTTGGATATGAAAGCAGCATTCACTGAAATTCTAAAAGGATTTTTTTTATTAAGGACTGTTGTTAAGAACTAATAATTTGACTCGAAAAGAGAAGAGAGCCTCTCCGGGTGGGTGGATGTCCTGGCCAACAATCCTTCAGATAAATTGGCCAAAATCACTTCATCTCTGTTTGCTGAGTATCACTGTTATGCAAACTGGCTGCTACAAGTACACAGTCACAACAATTGACAGAAATCATCCGTGACACGTTTTGAGATATTTTAACACTATTGATCTTATGATCTACTTTCTGTATACTTAATGAATGGAAATGCATCCAACATTAACACGGAAAATGTAATTCTCAGCTTCCATAAAGCTGGCAGTTTCCACACATGAATCACCAGCACCCCCACACCACCCCCAAGAATACTGAAACCATTTCAATTCTACCAAGAAAGGGAGAGAGACACTTTGCTGAAGGAAGGGTCTGGCCTCCCTGTAATATAAACTGGGTTTGCAGGGCTGGTTTAGAGGAGGAAAAAAAGACACTGGAGACTTGAGTGAAAAGTGGTCAGTGTTTTCATGGGGAAGTGATAATTAGAGGCGAATGGCAATCGCAAGATGTAGAACAATCCTCATTACCTTGTTGTGGCTAGATCCATTTAGTTTTCAGATCTATCAATGTTTCCAGAAACTCAGCAACCCGTGGAATTCTACCAGACTCAACAGAAAACCCTAGACAAGTACATCTATTACACTGAAATTAATCTCACAGGAGATTCCCGGTCAAGGCATCAATGTACTTTGTGCAAACCGCTTTACTCAGAATCCACTGAGCCTTGGTAGAAAATGCTTGCGTTGTGGTATCAGTATCACAATGTAGACATGATCAGGCACAAATAGGAACAAACCACATCCAGTACCCACTTAGTGGATCCTACAGTGAGCTCACTCAAAGCGGACTACTTATATACACATCCACATGGCTGGGGATTCTTAGAGACATAATTGATCATTTTGTGAAAGAGGAATAGGAAAAGTGACTATCTTCATCCTGCCTTAGGGCCTTAGGTTACTTTTCCCAGTTGCCTACATCACCCCAGAGGGGAATTGTTCTTGCACGTCTAACTGCTACCTACCTCTCATCATGTTGTTTTTGATCTCCCCAAGTGGTTCACATTATGAGGTGGGAGCAGTATTGTAGTGTATATGCTGCACTCGAATGAAGAAGGCTGAATTACTTATTAGATAATGTCATTTTACAACAGTTTTTACTTGAATACTTAAGTCACTTCCCTCCACAGATTGACTAGTCTAGGAGTGGCCAGCATATTTCATCAGGTTTGCTTAAACGAATGCTCAAGTTGTTATTGAATATTATTTTACACAGTTTTTATATGCTTCACATTGTTTTGTTTATTATAATTTATGCTAATATTTATATCTCCTGTTTCTGAGAGTTTATGATTTATTAGTTCATATAAAAAGAATTATTAATATGTTTTGTTCATTCATTTTGTTCTAGTGTTAACAAATGTTTTGTTTCCCTTCTAGAGGCTATAAGAAAGTGAATGCTAACAGTCCCTTTAATTACCCTTATATTGTGTCAATAGAGCTGAATATAGTGCTTGAAAGGATGGGCTGATGGATGTAGTAAAGGAAGATCAGCTGGTTTCCACAGAGAAGTCTCCTCTAGGGGACAACAAATTGAATTTCCCAGTTGCATATTAAAATATTTGTAAACATATGATAAATAACGTTTATTCAAAAATATGATTTAATACCTCTAAAGGTAAGTGCTGTCCAGTTTTTTTTCCTACCAGTAGTGAAACATACTATTACCTGTACTTGTAAGTCAGCATTGAGGATATTTCATAGCTTTGGTTGTAAATCGTAGTGTTAGGAGTAACTGCTACATCACTTGGCGTTGAACACCAATTTCTATCACAGTTGCAGGAACTGAACAGGCAGTTCCCCTTAAATGTAATGATGATGGACCTCACCAGTCCTCAAGAGGTTCACAGCAACAACAGACAGAAACAGATGACCAATGCATGAAACCTCGGAGGAAAGACACCCCCTTTCAGCACCAGCCACCACTTGTGCCAGGTAGACTTTCCTTTGCATACATCATGTTAAGCAAAAAATGACGAATCCTCACATTTTTACCTTCAAACCATTTCATTTTGTACCACGCGAGGAACGCAATCACCGTCTATTTTATAAACTTCTGACTCACAGCCAGATACAGAAGAGTTCTTTTGTTTTATTAACTTTGTCAATACTGTGTGAAAACAGAAATCATGTCTTTTTTTAATTAAACCAGTTCTCATTTGAAAATGAGGAAGGAAGTCTATTCGGACACTGCCAATAGACTGTTTGCTACTTAACTTTAGGAAATTGCAGGCTTTGAAGAATTTGTAGCAGTGATAGTGTATCAAGGTAAGCAATCAGTTATATAAATACAGTTTTACAAGCTGCATTCAATTAACCTTTCATTCCAGCAATAAATGGCAAATGTATTCAATTCTCAAGGTAATAAAGACATTCAATCTTACAGGCTGTTCAACTGGACAGGGATTACTGTTAACTGAACACAACAAAGCAGGAGAAAATTAACTGCAGAATTGATAAATACCCAACTTTCCCCAGAGATAACCCCCTTGTTCATGCAAATCTTTCCTTTGTCCCTTCCAGACAAGAACATTTCCATACGTAGGTGGCATGCATTGGAAATCTCAGTCTGGTTGGGACATTGTTTTGCACAAATTGGCTGCCATCTTTGCCCATAAAATACACTTCCACTCGACCTTACAGTATATCCCGTGAAGCTCTTAAAGATGTCCTCCCAACATGAAAGGCGCTAGATCAAATGTGAGGATTATTATTGTATTCTTGAAGCATCGTGTTGGATTTCTGAATGTGTCAGAAACCCAGCTCACCCAAGAAAATAAAAAGAGCAAACTGACTGTGGAATTCATAAATTCACAGGATTTTCCCAGAGTCAACCCACTAACTGTGGTTTCACAGCATTCATAGCGGGTAGGTATTTGAAACAAGATATTATTGATTCTATTGTACAAATGAACTGTTTGAAATGTACAAAATATGTAGAACATGATTACATTAAACTGACCTGAATCAGACCTTTGGTTTAACACAGAGCTCACTGCTCCACTCCTTTAATTACTGATATTCTCCTTCAACTGCTTCAGGCTCCAGCCAAACCTCATGGATCTGACACTCAGTTATAATTAGACATTGTTTTGTAGTGCTTCACTTTCTCCCAGAGAGTGTCAACTTACTATTCAATTTGAACATAATACATTCAACCTCAGGGGTGTCAAGTTTGAAAAGGTTGAAACGAGGCGAACTGCATTGCTGGAAGTGTCCTGCATTTAATGAGATATTGGATGAGGCACGATTTTTAAAGAGAAGGTTGTTTCTCGCTGTGTTTTAGCCAATAATCCTATGGATAAAATTCGTCATTTTACTTCATAGATATTTGTGAGTCGTTGTTGAGTCCAAATTGACTGTAAAATTTGCCAACATCTCCCCCTAATGTCTACCAAATATACTCACAAGCTACGAAAGGGCTAATTGGGAAACAAATACATTAAAAAGTCGTTATCCAAACAATGAAACCGCAAAAAAAAAGCAAGTAGCAAAGGTTAGAAACAACTGAAGGATGTTTTATGTTGAAAGGGTTCAGGTCAATACGCAGGTAAAGATTCTAAGCTTCCTCAACACATAAATTGCTCATTGGTCAGACAGAGTGGATCTGAAACTCTCACTCTTTAGATATTGATTATTGTATTGGTTTACTTCTCCAGTAAATCTCTGCTGCTCCCTCTTCTGATAATTCAGCCTGTGATTTGTAACTGAACACCTCAAGCTCATTTATACATTTCCAATGAAGCCATTTTTTCAAATAGGCCTTGATAACTGGACTATTATTTTCCATACGATGTGATTTTACCTTTGTCAAACTCCAGATATTAATAGACTGTCAGCAATAGCAGTGGACTGCTCGACTCCCAAACAGAAATACTTCTGTTTGAATTTCACTTTCTCTTGACATTCTGCGCCTTCATTGGGTGAGATGCAACTGTTCACCGGACAGAGGATGCCACGGAAACAGAACAACTTACCCTAAGAGGGAAGGCGAAAAGGGGGTAGCACAGAGCTGGCCCATGCAGAAATGGATGGTGGTGGCAAGTGACATTGTGGGAGAGTTAAGATGAGCAGGTATAGAAATGTTAAATATAGTTGTTGGAAAAAGCTGCAGAAATTCTGCTGACAATCTGGTACGTCTACTGTAAGGGATGCTCTGGGACACTGCACTGCACGACGGACGCTATATAAATGTAAGTTGTGGTGGTAAGGTAAATGGAGCAGTTTATCGCCATTGCCAATAACCTGTTGCACAATAAGTGCACAAAGTTCTCCTTTGACACAAACAAGAACAATTAGAACAACACCCAAATTTGATGTGACATTTAGAAACTAAACGTATTCCAGGACTGTGAATGAATTGTTGCTTTAATAAAGCATTTTTAACATTGGACTGACAACAAAAAGAGATCAAGAGATCAGATCTGACATATCATATTGTATATATTGTTCAAGACTTGCCAATGATCACCTCCTCCTTGCCCTCCTCTCCCCTGCTTGGCATCTGTGCCCGCCACTGTAATGCATTCCAAGACATTATTCTATGTGATGGCCACTATATGAAAGCAAATTATTATTGTTGTCCTGTGAGACTTGATTATAACAGTGATCACTGTAATTGATTAGATGGTAGAGTTTTTGATGTTATCAATTTATTGCAAATATTCAGGATAGTAGCAAGTGTGTAATTGAAACAGACCCATTAGTAACTACTGTATTTGTTTATGCTCAGTCCAGGAGACTTTACTTCTCTGCTGAGTACAGGTTCCTAATTTATGTATATCCTGAATATTGTTTGGGACATCAAGAGAGAGAAAAGAACAGCTGAACGGAACTGTTCGAAAAACAATTGTATTTCATAAGTAGGCACTGAACTGACAATCTGACTCAAGCCATAAGGATGGAAATGACCACTGAACACTAGTGCAATAGGGCATGTGATTCTGACACCAGTGTTAACCCTTGTTCTGTAGACAAGTCTTACTCAACTTCTGTATATGCTTCCTGAATGGGATGAAAAAATCTTCTACTTTAGTACTGACATCCTGATATTGAGTAATTACCGACAAACATTCATAAATTCAGTGAGAAACATTTGCTTTATGAAAATATGTGATCCATGTGGCCAACCGAAAGGCAGATTATCCAAGTCTGCATGAGCCAGATGTAGGAAAGACAGTATGATCAAGTTGATTCTGAATTAAAAGAAGACATTATAGGGGGAGGTGGCTTTGTTATTGGGCTATTGTGAAACAATACTAAGCCTGAATTATTGTGGTCTAATTCATCAGATCTCAGTGATATTGTTTGAGCACAACAAATCTACTTACAAACACTAATGGCGTGGGTGCGCGGAGATTTTGATGTGATTGATGGTCAGTATATTACCTGGAAAGTTTGCCTTCAGTTCAGCTAAATTGACTTGGCAGGAACCAAAAGGGATATTTGGTGATTAGTTTTCAAATCCAGTTGATGGGTGTATTGACTGTGCAGATGATTTATTTCTGAGTAATTCTCTGCACTTATTCCAACCACTGACATAAATGGGTGCAGAGGTTGCAAATAGTCTAATTCCAGAATGACACTGATGTGAATTTAAGTCAATACCATTATCTTTGTGATGTGTGCATGTGATGTTGTAAAGCCAGCTTTAAAAATGAGGCTCAGTTGCAAACAGCTGCAATTTAAGCAATGTCAAACACAGTTAACTTGACTGCAATTAAACATAATGTAAAATAATAAACAAGATGTCAAGCAAATCTTCACATTAGTCATAGTTTGATGTCATATTTTAATCTTCCTTGGCAACACTGTGGATCTATGAGGAGGGCAACATTGGCGCTGATTCCTCTATTGCGCTCCTGAGCATTCAGAAATGTCCATCTCAGAGATTGTTTCCTTCACAAGCAAACAGAGTGTATAAAGCCAAACTTTGTCATTGCTTGTAAAAAGGGAACTGAGTTAAGAGCATTGCATTTTGTTTCTGCACAATTGAGAAGTTAAAAAGAATGTGGATTCCTTGATGTTCTTTCAGTGTAAATATATTTTGAATATAACCAAATATCCCAAAGTTCCTTCAATATTATTAAGTATTATGTTGAACCGAAGTCAGGGATAGTTGATGGATCGGAATCTGATTTTGTAAAGTACTGCTAGCTCCGAAACGTATCAGATCAGAAATTGGTCACAATAAACAAACAGGTTACTAGAAATTATTTCTTAAAGAAAATTGCTAAAATGTGATTTATGCGTTGCTCTGTTTCTGCACTTTGGGGAAGTCATTTTCAGTGTCCTCCTGATGAGACAGGTGAGTGTGAATTTGCAAATTCACTGTGAGCAGCATTGCAAGTGTGAAACCGCACACTACCTTTCTGTGTGGTATTGTAGCATTTCTTAAAACTGATGAATTATTTCAACAAGTAACTGTTCAACATATTGTCGATTTAAAAATACTAGATAGCTCAGGAGTGAAGTCAGATAGATTGATTGATTGATATTCAGGCAGCTACTTTATAACAGCAACAATTTGTATTCAGGTAGTCCCGATGAGGTTGAAGGGCATCTGAATACCATGTGGGTAGATCGCCAAGAGTGAATGGAGAGGGTTAATGCATTTGTTCACTGCCCTTCTAATGGAACCTGGGCTGATAAATAGCTTATGTTAATGAGATCAAGAGCTTTACTTGAAGTATTATTGATTTAGTCCAGTAAAGAAGAAAATATGTATCGATCGTGTTCATACGGAGAGAGGGCAGCTTGAACGCGATGTGTCTATCTGTAAACATGATCTTTCTGATATTGCAGGGGTGAAACTTCTAAGAAGCCAAAATGAAACATCATTTCCTGAGGAAGAAGAGGGAGCGAACGAAAGAGAAGACTGGTCACCTTAAAGGGTCTCGGGATCAGCTGAAAGGAGGGTTGAGTGAATCTGAACTGAAAAACCTTTCAGTACTTAAGATCTGATGAATGTTTTCCCACCTTTCAGTTTATCACTTGAGTGGTGCTGAGTCCTTACAAATCTACTTTCAGTACTAAGAATCATGTTAAGCTTCAGTCCAGGAAGCATTTCTTTAAAGTCTCAAAGAATCTGAGGGATACACACGTAATATGATGGTGTAGAACCAAAGACCAAACCTCTGTCTCACAAGTAATGTTCACTTTGTAGTATCTTTGCCAATTAGAAATATTATTAGTATTGTAAAATGATTCTTCTTTATTATTCAACAATTGTACTTAAACCAGTCTTTGTGTGATGTGAATCTTTAACCAACTGTAAATAAAAGTTAATCCAAAAGCTATAAATACAGTGAAATAAAAGACCTTGTGTTTGTCTGGCATCTGTCTGGAGATGTGTTTGCATTCTTGCAGATGCAAATTACATACGAGTTTTGACTAAGTTACTAGTTTATTTCACTGAAGTATCATATGCAAATACATTGAGCCAGGTATATAGCATTTATATTGAGAAAGATAGTGGTTATGCTTAAAAAACACAAACTTTTTTTTCCCCTTTAAAGTTTTACTTTTTTGCCCTAACTATCAGCACACCACTTGAAAATAATAGTTGAGCTCACAAGTGAGTGAGTTGCAGACCAAGACTTGTTTAACCAGTGACGACGTGAATTCACAATTAAGATTTTATTGATAGAATTTTAATTATAATTCTGAATTATCGCTGTTTCTGCAAAATTATTTTATGAACAAACACTGACTGTTTTAAAACTGTGTGCATTCAAACAGTGAGGGTTTATTTAAATGGCTACAGCTGTGTAAAATAGATCCGTTTCACATTTAGCTGCCCTCCCTACTCTAATTTCTGACTGCATGGTTAGAATCATGCCCGGGAGGGTCTCTGCTCTGTACCAGCATTTCTTAAAGTAATAATAATCCTTGATTCAACACAGCACTTTATCAACTTAAATTGAGACAATTTTACTTGTGAAGTGTAGTGACTGTGCATTTGTAAGCAAATACGACTCGCTGTTTACCGCCAAAATAGCCAGTAAAAAGTATGAAATTAATTGCATTCAATTTTGACTTGAGTTGCACATTTTCACACCTGACTTGTGAATTCCCTAAATAATCTTGATCAAAACCAGAGGAATTTTGAGTGTATGTGCAATTATATTATTTTGATTTAGAATCCTGAAGACCAGACTGCAGAATGATCGGTCTGTGAATTGTTTGTGTATCTAATTGGTAAGAATGAAGTTCATAGCAGCGGCAGGATGATCGCGGAAAAGGTTTTCTATTTTGTTGAGCGTTCTCCAGAGAAACATTTATGACATATTAGAAAAACAAGTGAACTACAATTCCTTTGATCTCACGTAATCACTATCCCTTTGATGTCTACTTGTATTATATTTGTCTACAGAAAAGAAGACAGACACCCTTTATGATCATGAAAGCATATTACACGTAAAACCCCAAACACGTGGAGTAAAAATGGCCAAATTTGTTAGTTTCTTCACATATCACAGAGATTCTGAGGACCTGTGTTCCTTACACAATTCTCTTCACTAGATTTCAGCAATGAAATCTCACATGAGTTTCGCATGTCGTACAAAACAAATTCATGTATTTAATGATCATCCTTGCATTTGATATAGCACCTTATCACGTCTTTTAGACGTTTCAAAGCGCTTCACAGAATATACTGTAAAGTGAGCGAAACGCGGCAGCCAATCGCGCACAGCAGTGTCCCACAAACAGTCGTGGATTGAGTAACAATTTATTATTAATAATAATAATAATCCTTGCATTTGATATAGCGCTTTTCATGTCGGGAGGACGTCCCAAAGCACTTCACAGAATATACTGTAAAGTGAATTGACTGTATATTTGTGAGCGAACGCGGCAGCCAATTGCGCACAGCAATGTCCCACAATCAGTCGTGGATTGAAAATGACCAATTTATTATTGTTTTTGGTTTTGGAGGGATTATTATTAGGCTCTGTGTGGAGTAAGGAAACTTGCCCAAGGTTTCGCCCTCTGCCTGGAATTGAACTCAGGTCTCTGGCTTGCAAAGCGAGTGCTCTAACCACTGAGCTACAGGACTCCACAAAAATTATTATTTTTTATTTATTTTATTTGGGGCATTGTTGGCCAGGAGACACTTTTATTTTCGAATAATGCCCTTTTGAATTAAAGGGTTGGAGGGCAAGGGGATGGGATGTAACTCTAAGGAAGTGAATAAGAATGAAATATTTATGAATCACAAGTATAATATGCAGCTGAAACTCAGAACTTTACTACAGTGACATCAATAAAGGAAGAAAACAACTCACACACACACACACACACCCACACACAAGCAATTGGCGTCCCAGATTTTACAATAATATTTCAAGTCCTGTAACCAGAAACAAAATGTTACTTAAATGAAGCTACATTTACTCTGTGTTATTGGAGACGTTTCAAACAAATACTTTCTCACTGTGCAAACCAATAATAATGGTAAGAATTATCATTTTATTTCAATTTTTCCATTGGACGCATCATTCGTTTCCATAAAGGAGTATTTTCATTCAGTTTGCATACAAATAATGAATAGTACAAAATATCTGAGATTTCCATTTATTTCTTCAGTTATAATTATGTATATTCTATACAGTGACTGCAGCCCAGGAAACAAAACACGAAGCCTGCAGAGAATATCGAACCAACAGAAGAGAACGTTGATCACAAAGTCCAGGTGCAAAAGCAATTTTACTTCATCCTTTCATTGCATTTCTCTTTTACAATATTTTACATGCTTAAAGCTCACTCACAAACTAACCAATGCTACACAGTATAGTTCCACTTTATTGATGACTGAAACACATTTGCTAAACAGAACATAAATCTAGGCATCATAATTTCTCACAAACCTACTCCCAGGAATTTAAAACAATTTTACCTGCTGTTATTATGGCTTCAAAAACCACTCCAACTCAGCTAAAGTGTTGTCTTGGCATCTAACCAAAGAGAATTTAAATGCTTTGATTTGAAATATATAAAGTCCCTATGGTCAAATTCTGATACTCTAATGTGAAGAGATAAAGCAATTTGGTGCACTTGGAAATGATGTCAGTATTCAAACAAAAACACTAAATATATACAAAAAAAATTCAAATGACATAGAATGAATCATTCTTTCGAATGGAGCTGAATAGTTTCCTCAACAACTAAAATCTTTCACTTCACTTTCACAAAGATAGTGGTAGGTTTTCACTTTGGAAAGTGTTTGGTTTGTAGTTGGTGCTTAAATGACTCCGTTTGCATTTACTGGAACTGGATAACAAAATACAGAATGAGTTATCCGCAATTGAAAAAAAGTACTGCATATGTGAAACGTAAAGAGGGCTTTGTTCTGTGCTGCTTTTTAATGTGATTCCGTTTGCTTTTCATTATCGTCGCACCTTAAACTAATCAAAGACATATTCATTTCCATTTTAGAATCTGGTGTTTCTTTGGGTATCAGATGCAAAAATCAACATGTTTATATTGTATTAAAGATAAAACCATCTTCAGTACAGTATCAAAGAAAATCCATCACAAGGACAGAATCACGAGAGCAACACATTGTTTTAAAGATTCACATAGTGTGATATAGGATCATGATTAAGGTCAGTTTATTGAAAATTGTATTCTGTATAAAGCAACCATCACTCCTTGAAGCTACACATATATCACCAATAGAAATGTTACTGTTATTAGGAAAATGTTTATCCCACATTGTGACCTTTTTTGTAAATCTACGTTATATCGATTTGCTTTGAAAGCAAATATTTATAGTATTTCTCAATAAGTTAGAATAAAATCCTTGTGTAAGTGCAAATGTTTAATGCATTTACAAAGCTATCTTAAATATTACTACATCCTTTGAAGTCTACAATTGAACAATTTTTAGTTTATCAAGAATATTGTGGATGAAGAATAACTTATGGTTTCATACGTTTTACTTGTACAACCTTCATAATATTAGATAGTACAGCTAAACATATTTTTGTGGATGCAATTTGAAACTTACGTTCATTGCTCCAAGGGTGAACTAACTTTAAATATGCTTCCTTTACATGAAATATCATTCTGTAATTTTAATGCAAAAATGATCTATCGTGCATGCTATTATGTCACAAAGTGGCTCTTTCAGTGTTATAGTATTCCTACTGAATTAGCACAATGTCTGTCTGCAATGATCAGCTATTATTATTATTATTATTATTATTATTATCATACACAGGACACAATCCATGTTTGGAAAGGATAGAATAATAAACTTGCCCAACATTCCAGCACATATACCAATAATAAATTGTGTCAACAATATGAATTTGCTTCATCTGACTTTTATTAATCATTTTATTGTCTGACCCAGTGTGGATCATTGTGTTTAACATCAAAAACGTAGTGTATTTACAAATCTATGAAATGCGTAAACTTAATTTACCATGTGCTTTAAGTGAGTCCAGGGCAGATCATTCCAGGTACCGATGAGATAAGGTGTGGGTTTTTGTGGTATTAACAGTACAGCAATGTTGGTCTTAGAAGTTAGAAGCCAGCCTGCAGATGCATAGGGTGGAGATCAATGCAGTGTATCATTTTAACACAGCCCAGAAATAAGTAACATAGGTAAAAAAAAAGTAGCCTTGATATCACATTGTACTGAATGTGGGATCCATTATATAACATACATAAACCTTGTGTACACAGTCATATTATGTGCAAACCATGTGCAAAAAACTTAATTAAAGGTGTCCTAAATGATGGAATTGACAATCAGCGAAAAGGATCGTTAGTTATTTACACGATAATGCAATCCTTGTCCTAGATTGTTAATGACAGAATAAAGGTAACCTGTAATTCTCTCTTTACACAAGGTGCAAAATACACCAGTGGTTACACACGGCACATTAACCTGGTAGATCAGGAATTACTTTTTTTTATCATTCAGCTTTCACCCCAAAAAATCGAGGTATTTACAGACATAATAGATAAAAACTGACTTCAAAGTTCCCTGTACATTTACCAGCAATACAGTGTAAGCAACAGTCAAAAGAACTGTCAATATAAGGTAATAGAAACTGCTATAAATTGATCATTTCACTAAACGATGAACCAAGTCACTCGAACCACCTGTTCAGCTGCTTGGTTTTTGAGAAGACCAGTGTCATCACATTAAATTCAAGTTAAATGAAGCAAAATGCCGGCAGCATTAGAGGGTGCTCGGTGAAGATGCAGTCAGCTCTTTCCTAATAAGTCGAGCACCATGCCATTGTCTGGTACTGTAAAGAAATAAACAGGCACACTTCTTATAACTTGCGCGCAAAATAAATGTCTATTTTGAAAGATTATTAATCTGCAAAACAAAAAGCTCTCTCAGAAATCAGCCTGAATGTATATTTCAGTGACAAATGAAGAGGTCCTTTTGACCTCCATTCCTTTTCTCAAGCTCTGAATACTGCAGTCCAAGCGGTTGCAATACTATGGATATGCCAAATCCTCTTACAGTTCTGACACACTGAGGTCCGTCAGTTCACTGAGAGAAGGTGTTAAGCAGAGAGGGGGGAGAGGAGAGGAGTTGGATTGTTGAAGCCTGATTGGCAGGTGGGATACCTGATCTCCTGAGGTTATGATGTCGCGGAGAATATTAGCCCCAGGCAGGATGTAGGGAGACGAAGGGAGAGACAAATTTCAGAAGGTGAGGGACAGGGAGACCTGAGGAAGGTGGATATAAGTGTGGGTGTAAAGAGCAGGGAAAGGAAGTGTGATGGTCAGAGGAAGAGAATGAGAGGCGTGAGAGTGACTGGGTCAATAATGGGCAAAGGATTTTAGGTGGGCTAAACTGAACCCAACAAGGCTGACGTTGCAATACTGGAATGGGTGTCAATAGGGAAAGACAGTGAGGACTGTAGGGTATGTGTCAGGAGGAAATGACCAAATGGGCAAAGGAAGAGGATGTCAGCAAGAAAGACTGGGGAAAGATGGCAGTGACACCATTATTATTCTGCCCCAATCTCTGTCTCTGCCACCTTATGCAATGCAGCAATCTGACGTGTAATTAAATGCATTATAAGACTTGTTGCATGCTAACTGAATTGGGTATGTTGCATCCTGAGCTTTTTGGCCAAATTTACAAGAGAAAATGAATGCAGCTCTCTGATCATTACCTTGATTTCCATTCAGGACAGAATTCTTGAAAGTTTTACTAAACTAGTTGTGTACAATCGCATTCCTTTGTTCAAGTACATCTTCGCTATTATACATTGAATCTTCTGAATCCTTATAATGCTCAGCTTCTCCTGGAAGTAACAACAACAGTTAACAGTGCAGGACACACACAAAATTTGATACCAAAATTGGCTACAAATAGTCACACTCTTGCGTAAAATAAAAAATACGTCCTCTAATATTAATGTGGATTTTTTCCCCACCCCTAGAGTTGCGCATTTGTTCCTTGTCCCATGGGAGCAACAACAGCAAAGCCTTTTCTAAGTGTTTCTTATCTAAACCTGGTCTTATTTGGAGCTGAGGTACAGATCAGCCATGATCTAATAGAATGGCAGAACAGGCTCAAGGGGCTGAATGTCCTACTCCTGTTCTTATGTTATAATAATAATAATCCTTGCATTTGATATAGTGCTTTTCACATCTTCTAGATGTCTCAAAGTGCTTCACAGAGTTCCTATGATCATGAATGTCAACAACTGAAGCACAGTTGGAATCAACCCTCTGTGCTTGAAAAGGTCTCTTTCGAAAATTGGTGACGCAGAATGATTGTTGGTTTACAGACTGGCGTTCAGAGCAAGGATACAGGTTAATGGAGACTAAAATGGGGAAAAGTACTTTGCTCCCATCAAACCAATCTGAACTGTCCAGGCTACAAACATAATTTGTTCTCAGAATCCTACGAGAAGTGATTCAATGACAGGTAAAATGTCACTTGAGGAGACGCAAATAGAAGTAGTCTCAGCCCCACTCTCAAGCTATTACAGGCTACATAAATAGCAAAGCACTCAACAACTAGTGGAGCTTCCATACTTCTTATGTCCAAATCTCTCTGCTCCTGGGAGAAATTGCCCATGAATCAACCCAGACATTTGCAGCACACAGGAGCATGTGATAAAGATTTTCCTCAAGAATACATTGAATTTATTAATAGTATCATCCAGGCCATCCAAGATATCCTCCCAATAGGACAGAGACATTACAGTCTTATCCAACAAAAACAGTGATATGCCAATCATTCCGCTCCTTAAGGAATCTCTGCATCCAAGCAGGCCTAAAAACATTCCTCCCACCTTCCTATCGGTTCAAACTATTTACTGATTTTACCACATGAATAATAAACACTTACAAAAAAAGGAAATGGCTAGTTTTGCTTCCAAAATACCAACTTTCTTTCCTGTGGGTCTCAATCTGTAAGAACCCAGCTGTCGTCTTAAGATTTCCTAGTTGGTCTGCAGTCTGAAAAAAAAGTTCCCCAAATTCCTCTTTTGAGGGTCAGAATCCATTCGAGAGCTCAATGACTTTAGCAGCACGTAGCAACACAGTAATGAGTAATGCAGCAAATAATACAGAGGTATTATTTAGTTCTTACGTCCAAATCTCTAGCAATAGATTTAAAAATGCAATGAAAGTATTCGACGAATGGAGTTAACAATATCTTTAGTAAATGGCGAAATATGAGTAAAAAACACTACATCGGTTACTACATCCTAACCAGATATAATGACTGAACCAAATAAACAGTTGCAAAGTGAAGTCGCATTTTCTACTAGAATATCACTGTCTCCTGTCTAAGTGCCAGTGTTAACTCAGAGTAATGATGCATGAAATGGGGACAGCAAGAATGAATTATATAGAGAGAATAATAAAACAAGCCCCAATGTATCTTATGCTTAGCCAACCAATAGAATCATTGTGGTATGTTATGCACGCAATATGGGCTTTTTTTTGTTTCAAAAAGAATACTTAATAACAGAGGTCTTCCTCCCACTGTCAGTGTTCATTTTGTCTATCCCTTTTTCACACGAAACTTTGAACTTCTTGAAAGGCTGTGATTCAAAGTTGGTTATTCTTTTGAAGTTGGCAGCCAGACACCAGGGAAACAGAATGCTTCCAACTGCTTAAGATTGTTTCTGGTTAGAGCCGGGAATAAGTTCTAACAATTATTTTCATGTTTCTTGATACCTCAATATCTTAGCTTCCTCCTCACACACACACACACCAAAATAGACCTGTGGCCTTAAATTCCACCTGGTCTGAGCTTTGTGAGAGTGTTTTATCTTAAAACTTAATATTGCACAGAAATAATTCTAGAAATCTTAATCTAGAAAATGATTTTGCAAAATGTTTTAGAAGAACTGGTTTTAAAGTAAGCCTGAATTTAAGGATTTTCCACAATTCTGCACAATCTTAAATTCAATGAATTTAGGAGAAAAAAGATTGTAGATACTGTAGGTTTTCTGAAAAATTTTTTGTTAAGAATCCTGCCAGGTTGACAGCTTGATTGACACCTGCCAAGTGGTTAGTCCTACTTAAAGATGCTCGATTTAGTTTCACAATGGTAATGTGACAATGCACAGTTCTGCAATAACAAGTAGATGGCACGTTTCAAACACCAACACATTGACATTAAAATACTGTTTAAATTTTTCATGACCTGGAGCCCAGGATATTTATTTCTCAATGCCAGGAAGTGCAAGATTATTTCTCCAGTTTCACCCCAAACCACTATAATTATTGTTTTTCCAACAAATTTAATTGATGCAAATAGTTTCATCTTTTATTTACATAGTTCAGCGGAGATTGAGTTTAATTCCCCACTTCTTTAAGGAACCTGGTCCTTGAGTATATATAGAATAACTGCAGACAATAAAATAATCACTTAGATCACAGACAGGACAGAGGTGGTAAATTAGATGAAAGATTCAATTGAGCCTTTTTCACATGGGAGACCGGAATTCCTGTCTGACTGGAAGTATTTTTTCAGTCCTTCGACTTTGTCATCGGTATTAATTTTAAATAAATAAATAAATAAAATAAATTTCAGAAACGATCAGAGTGCATCAAAATCTGAATCTGACTGGAAGGAACATGGTGCTAAAATTACTTTGCACCGGATCAAAGTATTTATTATTTTATGCTTTAACAGTCGGTGGCTTGTGGAAATGCTGCTGCCTGAATACTGTGAAAATAAAAGAAGGCAACATTTTGCTGCAAGAGAAGATGCCACTTCCTAGAGATCATTAGTTCAATATTTTCAGATCTATTAATTAAACCAAAAACTAAGAAGCAGAAAGAAACTTGGAAACTTTTCCCTCCCTACCCCTAAATTTTGCTATGTAATTCCCAACAGAGAGAGCCTTATCACGTCGTCGAGATATCTCAAAGCGCTTCACAAGATATACTGTGAAGTGGATTGACTGCGTATTTTGTGAGCCAATGTCAGAGCCAGTTTCTGCGCAAAGCAATGTCCCACAAAGAGCCATGGAGTAAGTGACCAATTTTATATCAGGGATTGTTGGCCAGCATCCCGGGAGAAAATCCCTTCTTTTTCGAATAGTGTCATTAACGCCAATTTGAACGGGCAGACAGCATCTCCAACAATGCAACCCCCCACCTGGGACTGCACTGGAGTGTCATCTTAGACTATATGATTCCATATCCTGACTTGTACTGTACTCAGCGCAACATTTAAAAAGGACATCACTTATTGCAAATTTTGCACTCCTGATAAAGTGTCTCGGAAGTATGGTATAGAACATTCTAGCAACTGCAGGCGAGGCATGGCAGAAAAACACATTGGGACCTCACCTGATTGCCATGAAATGGTAGGACGTGGGTTTCTGACGCATTCTCTGCACTTAGTTCCAAATCAACCCCAAACTCTACAGTAAAGTGGCCTATAAAATATTTATGAATCTGTAACTGTGCAGTACTTACATTGTAATGGGCACCATGTGAATGACAAGTGTACTGGTGCTGACTTTAACCTTAGACATTTCCACATACGCCCAGGCCACCCAAAATATTTTGAAATAAAGCCAGAAAGCCAAAAAACACATGCAGTTTTACTCCGTCTCCCTAACTTTCTCTTTGTGCAATGGTTCAGGACTTTGTTATTTTAAGATCTGTTCCATTTATTCGTACTGTGGTCCTTAGCTCAACATCCAGCCACTGTAAAGCTAACCATCTTGATGAGGTATTCCCAGAATGAATCTGTGCAATGCTTCTGGTCAAATCAAGTAAATAATAAATGTTCGCTGTATCATAGCAGATCAGAGGAGCCAGTATTGGAAACCAATATCGGAACAGATTGGCCACCCTGCCATTTTAGCACAAGGTCAGCATTTTGTAATGTACAATAATAGCCTAGTGTAAGCAAAGTTGTAGGGCCTGGGGAGAGGGGTGATCTATGACAGAAGAAAACATGAGAAAACGCCTGTCTATCCTCATTAGAGACGGTGTAATAACCAAAACCGACCAAAACACCACTCGTGATTTTTTTAAAATTTCACAAGCAAGTGAACCCATTGTTCGGGAATTCTGATGTGTGTACCGAGGATGGGAAAATAAAGAGGAATTGACTTGAGAAGAAATAATTATAGTACTCATATTCTCTCTTTATGTGTATCCTTTCACTTGTTAGGCCCTAAGAGCAGGTTCCGATTTGCAATCCAATGCTATTTTTTTGAACCCTTACACAATATACAAAATTAAGATTCTTTCTCACATTTCGGTCCCCCAATGAATTACTTCTGGCTGCCAGAATCATAACCAATAGCAAACAACACAAATCATATTGTGTGCCTCTCCCTGCCTTCTGTATCTTATTCAACTATATGTGAGCATCTGGGAATAGTTGCCTACTGTATGCATGGTTGATTGCTATTTAATTGTTCTTTCCTCTGATGCTAGTAGTATGGAAATTAGAGGTTAAAGGAATAATTGCCAGGTTCTTTAAGCAAACGGGTGCTAGATGTTTATAGAATAAATTCAGACGACAAAATAATGACTTGAATCACAGACTGGATAGAGGGGGGTAAATTAGATGCAGTCTAAATACAGACAGAAACACTGGAAACTCAGCGGACGAAAGAAAGATTAACCAACAGTGTAATTATTATCTGTCTGGCAAGCATTCTTAATGTGTCCTTCACTACTTTACATGTCTTGCCTGGCATAATGTAAGACAATCAGAAGACATGGATGGCTGCCTTTGAAAAGCACTGATATCTGTTCCTCTCTAAATCACAGTTCAGGTATTTTTCCTAAGCCACGGCAATCTAGCTAGAGAATGTGAGTTACCATTCCACGGTGGTGCATGTTGAATCAGTCTGTCAGTCAGGGTGGAATCATTTTCACATATAGGTGAAATGCAGCTGATTGAATGCAGGGTTTTCTGCAGAGCTGGAGGATTGACAGGTGGCGGGCACACTGAATACTGCTTGTCAAATGCTTCTAGTGGATAGGAGGAAGTGTGTTTCTCCGAGAAATCATCATCGTGCCCCTTATTCTTGTCACCATCTGCTTTCACCAGGTTCTCCTGTCTCTCCTCATATTTGTCTTCATTGTTTGTGCTAGCAATCTGCTGTTCAGCTTTCTCTTTCAGCAATGCATCCTTCCGTGCTGTTTCTTCTGCACCTCGCGCAGATTTGTTTTCAAAGGGAAAATAAGATCAATTAATTCAACTATTACTATTCACTATTTATTCTCTCAAAACAAATGTATAATATATATTATATTACACACACACGCACACACATATGTTTGTGGTTAACTGATCATGTTACAAGTTTACGCTTTAACTATCATTAATAGTTTTCTCAGACCTTCATCTAGTTATAGAATAATCTTACTTGCGTCATTACATCACAGAAGTTTACCATTCGGGCACTATTACAAGAGAAGTAGGAAATAAGTAGTCGCTGGAGAATTATTCACAGTCTGGTGGCTTTACATAAACAGGGCCAAGGAAATTAAATTCCAACTAGTACATTAGTATTTTATGTAGCATTACATTTAAGACCACAGAATTAATACTTTGACAGTAAGCCCAGTAGTATTGAGAACTTCTGCCCACCAGAGTCTGAGCCAGTTCTTACTGGAACCACTTTAACTTTATAAAGGTTGAGAAACAAGTCTGTGAAACACTTAAGGCAGTCTGATTAAGGTGGTCTGTGGGAGTTTTTGAATGGACTTTTGAATGCTGTACGATTTATGTGTTTTTTATTTAATGAATGTACTTGAACATAAACGCAAAAGCCAGAACGTAACAGCAACCACAATGTAATTGCAGATTATTTTGGGGGTGCACTATGGACTAACATCTCCCAACACATCTGCGGGGCATATTTGTGAGAAGAGCGAGCTGATATTTAAAAGAAAACTTAATATATAAGAACAAGCCAATATTCTAAAAACTTAATATAGATGCGGCAATTTGTAACAGGAATACTTAAAGAGGAAACTGAGTGAGGAACTCCCTACGGTAACCATCAATATAGTAATATTAATACTAATAATAATCCTTGCATTTGATACAACGCCTTATCACGACGTTTCAAAGAGCTTCACAGAATATACTGTAAAGTGAATTGACTGTATATTTTGTGGGTGAAACGTGGCAGCCAATTGACCTGCGGGAGAATTAGAGCAATTAAATGGGTTGACATACATCCTATGTCTCTACTCATCCGGATAGAAATCTTTAGAAATGGTTAGAGTCAAACATGAAATTATTAGCAATTATTATAAAATAACCCTTGCACACCTTCAATCGCCAGCTCTTTCCACTTCCCTTTGTTTTGCTGTATAACTTCCATCCAGTTCAACTTAAAGCTTTTTAGGTCGACGGTAGCTACAGAATATTCCGTGGAAGAGCTTCCATCTGATGGCACACTCCTCACACTGTGACGGCGTGATGATTCTGTAGCACCTCCCACTCCGATGCTGTTAAGACTAATGACACAAATAACACCCAGAGAATAACAACAACAACAACAGCTTGCATTTATATAACGCCCTTCACGTGGGGTAGAATCCCGGAGTGCTTCACTGTGGCAGTAATAATAGAATAATAGTTTGATATAGCGCCTTACCACATCATCGAGACGTCTCGAAGCGCTTCATAGGATTCAAAGTGCAAAGTGTAGTGACTGTACTTAGGGGCGAATGCGGCTGCCAATGTGCACACACCAATGTTCCACAAACAACCATGAAGCATGCAAACAATTTTATTTGTGAGGGATTGTTGGCCAGGACACTGGGAGAAATTCCCTTCTGTTTTCAAATTGCTGCCATGGGATCTTTAACGTCTGCCTGAACAGACAGATAAGCATGGCGGCTCATTCGAAGGATGGTAACTCTGACAACTCAGGGATTTCCCAGCACTGTATTGGATGGAGTGTCAGCCCTGGACTATGAACTCAAAGCCCTGACGTGGCCTTGCTTGAACCCTCAAGCTTCAGACTCAAAGGTGTGAGCCAGACTGACACATACGACACATCCCTTTCAATTACAGAAGCTATAATTGGTGGCTTATCCCTCAATGACACAGAAACCTTTAAACCTCACTTAAATATTTAACAAACATTACTCACTCCTGTCTACAGTGAGTCAGGCAAGGAGAGTCCCCATTTATCAATGTTCTTTCAGTCAAAAATGTAATTTAGTTAAAGATTTCAATGCAAAAAAAAATTGAAAATTATTTTCCCTTATTCTTCTTCATTTCAGGCCATTTGCTTATTGCTTTGTTCATCCTTTTATTTTCTTTGTCGTTAATCTAGAGGGAGATGACTGAAGGCCCAATCAAAACATGTTTAGGAAGGGCTTTGAAGGCAGACACGGAGGGTGTAAGACAGTAAATAAAACATAGGCGTTTTAAATTACTTTTGTTGATATAATGACTGATGAAGAAATGTTAAAGTTAATAAGTAACTTGCAAAACTGAAACGAGGTGATTACATGAGCACACCACTAGGTGGTAATATATCATAACGTAAAGACAGCTGCTTCAACACAACTCAATAAACACCAACATGTCCAAACATTAAAATAGTTAAATAATACAGACAACAGACAAACTGACAGTGTAACAACTTAACAGTAAACCTAACGTCATTGATGAATTTTGTGCACACAATGGAAAGGCAGAGCTGTTCACTTCATGGCTGTTTGTGGGACATTGTTGTGTGCAAATAGGCTGCCACATTCACTCTCAAAAATACACAGTCACTACACTTTGCAGCAAATCCTGTGGAGCACAATGAGACGTCCCCCTGGTGTTAAAGGCGCTTTACCTAATGTCAGGATTATTATTATAGCTTTTTATCCTATTTCACATTGGACAGTTATGGATTATAACAAATAGTAGATTCTACCAGGAATTAGTTAATTCATTGCTTTGATGTTTATAAATTATGAATCTTTCCAGTTGTGAAATAAATCCAGTAACACAATATTGCTGGAGCAGCATCCTGTATTGATTCTGCAGCCATTAGCAATAACTCACAACTCCTGACAAAATATAATAATGGCAATATAAATGTTCATTTAGACGCCATGTTGGGTGAAGCATTTTCATTTCCAAACGGTAGTCAAACAAGTTAATAGGTTGTGAGATACATGTTCAGAATGCACTGTGCCCATGGTCAACGGCTTGTTATAAGCTGTTTGAAGATATCATTACTGTATCCTGGTGCATTTTCCACATGTAAAGAAATTTAACAAATAATCCCCTAGATATCCTGTAGTAAGGCTGTCTCCTAACAATGCAGATTCTAATATATTGCCACAAGGTGCAGAATATAAAAATACATTTATTCCAGGTAAATTTGGTAAACCTCCCAAATTTATCATTTTAAAATGAAACCAATTCTTGGTGAAGCTAACTATTTTGGTGAGTGCTATTATTAATCCTATCAAAAATAATGATGGGAGGGGGGAGGAGTTCAGCTTTCTCATTACTAACATTAACATAAAGGCATGCACAGAACTGTCTAGATTATACAGTAAAACTCACATAAATCTGATCTGTATAAATCATACAATCAACTAAGTTGTACATCTGCCCAAATCCCATTCAAGAGTTTATATTCTATGCAAATTTGACATAACTGATACTTTGCATAAGTCATATTAAACATCAGTCCCAACTGATACGATTTTTATGAGGTTTACTACAATAGCAGGTTTTTTTTAATAAATCTTTGCAGCTGATTTAATCATCTGAACCCATACAAACATCTGAATTACATTTCAAAAAGTTGCAACGAACCTTTGCCGTCTTAACCCCGAGGCACCCGGTTTAGAAGCTTCCTCTGTAAGAGGAGCAATTATCTTCTCCGCTAGATCTGTCAGAACAGAGAAGGTTGGCTCCACAATGAAATCAATAAAGCCTGTCAAAAAAAATGTTCAGTATTACTAACAGGTCACGGATAAACAGATTTCCTTAATTCAGAATGAAATAACCCTCCGTGCTGTTTAATGTCACATTTCAAGATATGCACAAAGTAAACTAAACTAGAATTGCGATCTTTAAAAGTTGACACGCACTACTATTCCATAATCAAAACTTGTGGAAACTTTACGTTTTGTTATGCAGCAGCTGATAAGAGAGTTTGCAACATGGAGTTACATTTTTAACGTTATTGCGATTTCATGGAATCTTCTAAATATCTCTATTGCATAGCAGAAATCCGTATCCGTGCACATTTAATCCAAATACTGAATCTGTCTCTCAATGAAACTCTCAATGGAAATTACAATTAATTCCCCAAAACTTGAAATCTCCAGTTGCGAACAGTTGCGAACAGCATAAGTAACACAGTAAATGTGAGAATTTTAGAATGCTAAAATGTGTTACTTTACACTAACTCTTTTCTCTTCGGTACTTTTTATCCATGTCCTTTAATATACTTACAGTCCAAGCATCTATCTGGCCCACTTTTTAAAGCCACAGTTGACTCTAACTAGGTATAGTCTTTAAAGACAGTCAGTTCTGTAACTCAAAGTTGAAAGAGACCTGGAGGTGTTAGTTGACTCATCATTCACCATGTCTTAACAAAGTGAGGCAATAAGATAGGCAAGATGCTGGGTTACGTTGCAAATCAGTTGAGTTCAACTCCCCAGCTAGGAGGAATACTTTGATGAATACTCCCCCTAGACTGTACTTCCTCGTGAAGCCTATTTTAGAAAACAACTTGTCTTTTGCAAGGTCACTAAAATTATAGCTTGTCACTGTCAGCTACCAGATAATAGGCAAATCTGTTTGCTCACAAGAGACCTGCTGCATTTCAATCAAATCATCCTCTCTGATGCAGCACTGAGTTTAAGGCCCTGATTCTAAGTGTGTTTCTCAAAGTGAAGAGGTGTTAATTCATGATGGACAGCTCTGATGTCAGGAGTTTTAAAACACAACATAACAACAAAGAAGCACAGCGTCAGGGCTGTCAGCCTATTCACACTGAGCCACAGATGGTTAGCACAACAGTCTTAATCATCAGACTGAATCAGATTTTGATACCTGCCATGGGCATAGAATAAAACTTCAGCCATCTCTGGGGAGTTTACTTTCAGATTGGAAGACAAGAAAAATATCTCTTTCAACCACGTGCAAACGCACGTTGAATGCATTTTCACGTATACAAATACTTACCAATCTGTGATCGCGCCACCATTGTGGACTGACGATCACACAGTGGGGAAAATGGTAGCCCTAGATCTGCCTCATTGTCACCCTGTATAGAAATAGAAAACAGCAGATTTGCAAGACAAAGCAAAAGATCACTGAAAGAGGTACAGAATCTATAAAGGGCAGGGAAGGCAGTATTAGAATAGATCATAGCGCACAAATACTCTGGATTTAAGGACGTAACTAAACTAGCTGATGACGACTGTTCGGTACACTGACCTAGATTTCTGTAAAAAAAAAGTTCGACAATGTTTTATTTGTGAGAAGGTTTTAAAGAAGGTTAAAGTTCATGAGATTAATCGCCAATTGCGGCCGGCTGGATTAAGAAGCAGTTTTAGCAATAAGAAGCAGATGTGATAATAAATGATAAAGCTCTGTGTGGGTGGGAATAATTAGTACAGATCCACAGGGAAGGAGGGGGAACGGAGGAGTTGAGAAGGTTCAGGGACCCCTGTTGTTTGTACTTTGCATAAAGGACATGAAGCAAAGTTCTACTTTGTGATATTCTAAAGTTGCTGATTATATCAGGTTATGTGGGCAGGTAAATAAAAATAATATTAATGAGCAGAATAAGCAGCATTCAGACAATCTGGACCATTCAGCAGATTAGATCTTGTGTGGATAAAGGCACAGGAATGCTCATCTGAACTACAAACAGTGAAGAAAATTGAAGCAATGCCAATTCGTCATTGTTGGAAAACAAAAGGATTTGGGTGGAGCCACTGAAAATTCTCATAATCTTTTGGCTGCACATTTATATTAGGGAGAAAATGCTGTGATCGAGGAAACTAAGACGTTCATTTAAATAATGTGCATTTGCTAATGAAATGACTGAATATTAAGCAGTGGTTTTATACTGTGAAATGGTCAATGAAGTTGCCATTGATCCAGCAGGTCATGTACCCACCATCAGTAAGAATAAATGATTAGTGATTTAATTTCAACAGATTAGTAAATTGAATCCTTATAAAAGCTCCTGGATGTGTTCTGGCACAAATCATTTTCCACTTTCTAAAACTGAATCCTTTATAGGGATCCCCCACATTGCCACATCACTATTTCAGACATTCTGAGGGTTCCATGAACCGTATATAAAATATAATACTGTTAATGTTCAGTTGTTTAAATATAATTAGTTAATTTGCATGGCAAGCCATAATTAACAAAGTATGAAAAATTTAACGTTAAAAAATAAACCAGCTTTTTTAATAATATTGCACAAGATAGTTTCTATACCACCAAATCCACTGAACTATCCCTAATGTATACACCTATTGCCATGTGGGAGTTTGCAGTAAATGAGAAGTCTACCTGTCTAAAGAATTCCTCCATCAATGACATTGTCCAACGATAGTGCAGATGCCAGGTTTTTGCAGGATGACTTATATCTGCTGCGTGCAGCATTAAAGACATGACTTTAGCCTTGTCAGTCCTGAAAATTCAAGGGCACACTCTGACTTATTGCAATCAAGGAACTGTGCACTACAACAATTACCAATTGTCCTGTTTATTTATAAACGAAATGGTCAAAGACAGGAGATTGCCTCACCCTTCAGGCTGCTGCAAAGTATTTCTCATGGTTTTGATTTGTTGAAAATGACAAGACATGTCGGTCGATAAAACCATCTCTATCACCAAAGCACGCAGTTCCCTGTTGATTTATAAAACATGGCATGGTACTATGATTAACTGATTTGCAATGTCAAACACAGGAATAGATCTGGCAGTTAGTCTCTTTCCATGCCTACAATAAAAGAATGGAAAATACATAAAAAGGTGCTGAACTTCCAATGTTCCCACGACTGAAGGAATTTCAATCCCAAAGTTATGTTTCACTTACTAGCAAATCGAGCAGCTTGGCAGAATAATCTTCTTTAAATACTCTCCAAGCCAAATGCATTGGTGCCTATTTCTTGTTGCAATGTGACATTTTGTACTGTGGCATTTTGATCAAATGCAATCAATTGCGATGATGTTAAACAAAATAGTATCACAAAATGCAGTAGCATTTCTGCAGCAGAAACGGAATGAAAATACTGGAGTTTTTTGTAGAGCTTATTCTAAGAATAACAGGATCTTTATTAGAACGTGAAACCTGGAATGAGAAAAAGACTATTCTCTCCACATCAAGCCAATTCTCCACAGCTCATGTATGAGCACTTGAGCTGTTGCCCCTGCTAGGAAATAATATCACGGGATGGCGGAACTGCCAGGATGGTGGAAGGACCTTGGACTTTTATCGCCCAGCAAATTCTTATGTTCTTAATCCCTTCCCATCGTAGATACTGATCTAGCCTTCTTTTAAATGCACCAATTGACCTGGAATTAATTTCTTTATTAGGAATGCTGTTCATATTATCAAAATCTTCTGATCTCTAGTCTAGCTGGCCACATAACTTTGGTGTTCTCCTTCAGCTCATAAACAGATCCCTGTGGAGTTCCAATGGTTACTGCCTCCAATGCAGAATATGTCATTTATCATCATCCTCTTCTTATTAAAAAGCCAATTTTCAATCCATTTGTTTAATCTATCATCCATTCCATGAGTGTTCATTGATTTTTTTTAAGGTAATTATACTTTGTATGAACTAATAGTGTTTTAATGGTATTATTGCAAATGGAATTTTATTTTTAGCTCTGACTTGTAATAGATGCCTGATTACAGTTACGAGCTGTAACTGTACTATTTTGTTAAGCCTGTGTTTTTTTTTTGAAAGGTCCTATCAGATGACGTTTGATTGAATATTAAAAAGACCACAACAATGTGTACAAATGGGCAGGATAGTAGTTCCTGTAGTATTATTTGGCAAAAGCTCTTAACTTACCGCCAGTCATCTTTAGACAAGTTGCTCAAGATGTTCATTTCTTCATCTTGCATTAAGCGGTAGGCAGCACTCACGTGGTGGTTTTCAAGTACAGAGCGATCGTTATATAAAATGGCTACATCTGACCTGGTATCAAATGAATATAAAAATAGTGTTGACTATTGAATGTTTGAATACACGATAAATTAAATGCAATAAAAGCAGTTTAAAAAGAAAAAAGAAATTATTATTTTTATTATACCCACCCCACTATTCCCTCCCCACCCATTATATGTATATATATACATCAAATTTCTTAAAAGATTATTTAAGAATAAACTACATAACTCAGCCTTTTTAGTATAAAGCATAGATGGATTAAAGCTCAATTTGCTTAATGGGCCTAACTATGCCTAATGTTTTTTGAATGTGGTGCAGCATGTTATACTGCCTGCCTGCAATTCAATGAACCTCTTTTGCTTCAAGCAGCTTTTTTCCAAATTTGGTCGTAAAAAGGAGAGTACAATGATATCCTGGGCTGTCAGTCCACAATGGCCCTTGTTATATCACACAGAGAGCCTGTAAGGACGGCTAGAGTTGAGAAATAGAACTTTCACTTACAGACTACAGAAAGAAGTCTGCTCAGTGTTATGGCATATGTGTTGAATAAGAGAGAGTAAATGAGAGTAAATGATAAGCACAACAAATAATAAAGCTTGGAAAATGTTCAATTTTCCATGACTTCCATTTGTCTATTGGTAAATACGGAAATTTCTCAAAGGGACTATGAATGCATCATTCTTGACATGGGACATTAAGATCACCCCCCCAACCCCACTCCTTCCCCCATTGCTAAGGAGACATTCTTCATGTGTCTATGTCACTTCATATAAATATATTCTGTGTTGGCTAAGGCACAGAGCAACACTCGTGTTAAATGGGTTGGAAAAATCCATAGCCCATTCTTCCAGTAGGGACTTTTCAATTGATTATAAGAGTTCACATAGGTAGTTTATCTGCTACCAAACAACCATGAATGTGACAGGAAATCTTCACCATAGAGTCCAAAGTTCATTGGGTCTTTGAAGGCTAACACTGTCAAAATAGGGCAACTACAATACATGCTATAGGCTCAGCTCTGAGCTTGTGTACAGCTCATTCATCCACTATCTTGAGTGAGAGATTAATTTGTCATTGTTCCAAGGGCAAATTGTACTTGCGTCTCCAAAGACAGCATGTCTATTTGAACAAACATTCCAGATCCAAGAGACTCAATTCAAAATATCCTTCCTTCATTGGAAAATTAAAGCCACGTGGATTTCTTGGCTGATGCTTCAAGATTCTGATTCTGATGACAGTAAAATCTGAACGACATTGCAGTTCAGAGCAAAATTGTTTATTTAAATAAAAAAACGACCATATTGTAAAATAGCCAAATGTTTATTTTGGTACATTTGAAATTCAGAATAATTGAAACCATGAAAGCAAATCCACCAAAATATGCAGGGGGTTACGTTTGGTCCATTTGAAACAATAATACTTGTGTTTGATATAGTATTTTATCACATTTACAATGCTAAGGCAATGTCTCTACAACACTTAGGATATGATTCCCACAGAGAGAATTCAAAGGGCTCTGGCTATCAATTTGGATTACAAAACCTATTGTAAATCCTGCTTTCAGGGATGTATAATGACAAGCACTCTTCAGAAATGTGACTTTCCTCATGCTTCACTCGTGTGTTACCTACCTAGTCTGAAGATGGAAGTTATTAGTGGTTCCCGTGTGCTCATAGTCATGAATAGCAGCCGCAAAGAGCATTGCTAGGATTTCCAGTTCTGTAAACCAGTGCTGCAGAAACACAACGTCACAGTAAACAGTCTGCGAAGAATAATGCTTAAAATTTACCCTCATTTCATATGGAAAAACAATAATTCTTGGCTTTAGAAAGTGTTTAAGGAGTGCATGAAACATATTTTTAATTAATATCATTCAATACGCCCTGCCTTATATCAGATCAAATTTTAATTATTTTAAACAAAAAGTGGTAATCATAGTTTGGTTAAATGAATTGATGCATCCTCACCTTGGTCCCTGTTGTAATGGGTTGATTAAGGGATAGAATATGAGCGTTGGACTGCTTCTCATTATTAAACTCCTTCATCTCTGATATTATCTTTATGAATCTACACTGTACCCTCACTGTAGCTCCAATATTCTCTCTATAGTGCACCACCAAAAACTTCATGCAATTGTCCAGATGTGGCCTAACCAATGCCTTATAAAGATTCATTACTTACTCTATTTATGAAGCCCACAATGGTTCTGTATATAAAACCCACGATGACTTTGTGTACGAAACCTACAGTGGCTAATTATGTAAAATAAAAGTCTGCCTTTTAACAGCCTTTTAACAATATGAGAACAAACAATTCATTTGAAGCAATTACATTTTTTGACCAAATAGTCCTCAAATCATTTGGCAGTCAGATATATTTAATGAAGGTAAAAAAAATCTCTAATGTAACTAAGAGTGAACGAATGAACAAATTTATAGTCCAGCAAACAAAACTTCCAGAATCAATTCCTGTACCTCATTACCCAATCTCTATGAGTATCAATGATTACAGTGTGACTAAGCTTCAAAATTACCTGAATTCCCTTTGTTGGAGGAGCTAGGTCAAAATGGGGAAGGTGTTTCATTCAGATGCACCTAGACTACAAGAAAAGTTTCCCCTGGTATCTTATTCAACAGTATTCCTCCCCCATAAAATTGGTCATTCACTTCATGGTTGCTCGTCGGACATTACTGTGAGCATATTGGCTGCCGTGTTTCCCTACAAGTACACAGTCACTACACTTTACAGTATATTTGATGAAGAGCTTCAAGACGATAATGTGCACTGGCTATGATTTCCCCCATTATAAAAACACACTGTGAAAGTCACTAGAAGAAGATGTTCACCTCCGTGGCAAAGCATCTCAGTACTTTACATGGTTTCTCTGTCTAGGCTTTAAGGTGTTTCTACTTAAAATCCTAATTGGCCCTATTTGACCTCTTGCTGCTAAACCTTCCAGAATGAGTGTTGAGTTAGATGGGCAGTGCTGTTGTTGCTTGAATAGTAAAGGGATTTTCTTACAGATCTTTTAAAACATCTTCATGTTTCATTTTGTCTGCTGTATGTGAATGTTTTATCAGTGTGAACATCGCTTCATACTCCCACTTCAGTGTATCTTGGAAATCCTTACAAAGCTTATTGATGACAGCAGAGCACAACATTCTTCTGATACAGAAGGATGTTACTGTTCCGTGAAAAACAAGCCTCTGTCTTTGAAACGTAGGTTTTCTACCCCATGGGAGGATTTGGTGCTCTTTCCTATTAGGTATATACCAATTAAAATTTATTGAGTCCTGTTTGAACAATCTCTCATTTCGATGATGTACTTTGAAATACCCTGTATCCTTTTGCAGCTGTGTTTCTCTATCTCTATTCACAAGGCTTTTGTGATTCCCTTTTCATCAGTTGCAGTTCCATTTTGCTGTCGTCGTAGTTTTCTTGTGACTGGATCTGAAGGCTCTGTTTAGAGTCAGTTGTAAGTTGAACTAAGTTGAAGTTGTAAGTTCTTTTGACTTTTGTTACATTTAAAAATCTTAAAATAAATAGCAATATAGAAACCAAAATCCATTCAGCCCATTGGAGTCTGTTCCAACACAGAATGTCCTCATATCTTAATATATATAGTAGAATTTTTTTTGTTTTTGTCTCAGTCTGTGATTTTTGTTTCCGGATTCTGATGGTGAACAGCATAAGGTAAAATACAATAATGTACAATGTGCTCTCAGACATTGAAACTACTACTGTCATTACAATTAAATAGTTAAAATCTGAGAATGATGTTAATGAATATTGGGATGAAAGTTGTGGAGCTTCATAATGTATCAATGTCACTGGCACCAATTATCATGTCAAAAGTGCTAGGAAACGCTCTACATTTCCTCCTGTTAAATTATTCATTTAACGAGAGATTGTTAAGGCAGGAGTTCTTTGAAATTAATGCTATATAGAAATAGTCAGAGCTAACTATGGGATAAAATATTTATTTAATGTAAGAGCTTACTAACGCCGCCATGATGGTACAATCTGTCCCCCTGCCTGGCTGGGGATGAAAAGTGAGACAGGATAGTTGCCTATTAACGTTTTTTTTATCTTATATACAAGTTGGTTATTTCTTATTGGTTAGAAGCAACACTGTATAACCATTTAAACAATTTACCTTCTCACCAATACACAAATCCAGAGTATGCTATCTGGATAAAAAAAATACTAAGAAACATATGTTTTCCATTTTGCTTCAGTTGTTTTTGAGTGGTTGATATTCAAAGCCACGCCAAAAATAGCATGTGATGTGAAAGCCTTTGTGTCGAGTTCTTCTTGGCAATCTCCCAAGAACTGGTCAGAATTGTCTCAAAGTCCCAAAATACCAAGTACAGACCTGAGTGCTCACTCTGCTACCGTTATGACAGGACCAAATCTATAATAGTCATAATAATAATAAATCTTACCATAATGCCAGTGTGGAGCATTAAGTAATGCACAGTTTGGGCCACATCTGCTGCATGGTTTAAGTTATGATAAGGATTTTTATGCTTGGTATAACCAGCCTCCAGGGCCTCAACAAAAGATATTAGAGACGACACAGGGATCTATGAGAGAGAACATTTTAAATTAGAGCAATGGGTAAAGTAAAATGTAACAAACCATACAACAACATTAATAATTTTAGTTTTTTTCTTGATATTTGTCACAACAGTGACAACAAGAGCCATGGGCTGTTTGCAATCCCTTAAAGAACAATAGATTTGCTCATAAACCAAAGTCTTTTGAAGATTCATTATCACATTTATTGAAATATCAATTTGGCCAACTAATACATCATTTATTTTCCATTAGAGAAAGTGGTCTATTCTATATAAACATTAAAACCTTATTAACATGCATATCGCTGTACCTTGACTGCACATTTATTTAACGAATTTCATGCAAATGCCATAACAATTGTTAATTAAAATGCAGTAATAATTAGCATGCTAATATGAACTTTTGAATTCACTAATGTTTGTCAATTTATAAGCGGTTTTCTGGAAAAGAAAGAATTAACATCACAAAAACATCTGATCGTCTGCAGACCATTGAATGTTGCTCTAAGGGTTAAAAAATATTTTTTTTTGATTCCATTCGCGGTAGAATCGTGCATAATTTAAAAATGATTAGCAGTGGCTTCATTTTTATTAGCAATATTGCTTGACAAGGGGTTAAGCAGTTTTAGGCATTTGCTCCAAACTGCATAATAGATTGTATTGTAATGTTTCTGTTTAATTTGGTTATATTACACCAGTTATGGGATACAAATATGAATTTTACTGCTGGGGGGCATGCATCTGACAAACAAATGTTTTCTCTTTTTGATTTCACGATTCTAAGTTTCCCAGCACCTTGGGACATCCTTCTGATGTGAAAGGCGCTATATAAATGTGATCTGTGGATGTTGTTAAGCGCTTGTATTTATCAGGACACATTTAAATGACTGTGCAGTGAGGTGCAACAGCAAGTGGCGACAATAAGAAACCAAAAGAGACCCCTAGAAGATGTGAAAAACACTACAGCAAATGCAAGATTATTATTATTTATGAAAAAAAGGCTTCATAAAGAATTCAAGCAATGGGGAAGAGCTGAGTATTTGATTTGTTCTATAAAACGCTATGAATATCAAATGCAAGGATTGTTATTATTATGATTATTATTAAGAAGAATTGATAACTCTGGCTCAGCAAAGCGATGAGTCCTCAGTAGCTGGAACAAGTTATCAGGAAAAGTGTCAGAGGCTAGAATGCTGGATTCGTTTAGCAATGGGAAGATGGTAGAGCAGGCATTCAGGAATGATGACAGTAAAATGCACCAAAGAGCCTTTCATCATCCATGCACTCTTATAATCTTTTGAGTTATGAAGGTCTTCATAAGGAGAACAACATAGGCATTCCGAGGCAGCATAAACATTTTATTTTATTAATCATCAATTCATCATAAACCCTCCGACTAATTACATCTCTGATGAATGATCATAATATTTTCACTCGTCTTAAACTATCCTGGCAAGGTGGGCATATTGTCCCATTTTGCGATTGAAACCCATGAAAAATATACACAGAAAGTAATTTGATAGCTATAAAGATAAATGAAAATTAAACTCCAAATTGGAAGCCCATTGTTTCCTTTTACATAGATTTCCCTCCTCCGGTATCTCCTGTAGAGTGTCTGCTCGTTTAAGATGACAGATTACAGTGGATCTCAACTAAATCTGCTAGTAAACTTGTCTGCTGGTTACTATTCTCACTTAAGGGACAGATTATGGTGGATATACACAGGTATATTCAGACTCATCCATGTCAGAAGATTCCCTTGTTATGTTTGTGATGTAAATGAGAATCCTTCAGTGGAACAATTGAACAATTGGGGGAAGAAGGAATGCCTGAAAGAAGCAATGCTGCTCATAATCTAGTTTTCTGCAGGATCTCACTTTGTGCAATTTACACTGTGTGATTTGGAAAAGGTTTCATTGGGAGAATTCCATGGAGAGAATTCGATGTATTGATGCACAAGGGTTTTTGCACTGTCATACGTTTCCATAACTAAGTGTTGGGAAGGACACACAATTTTTTAAATAGATATTATGACTATTTGCCAGAGATTCACATGAAATAAATCACAATAAAATGTTTATTTTTTGCTCTGCAGCCACATGCACAAGTGTGTATGAAATCGATTGTTAGATTTTGTAATTCGAAGAACATTCGACTTGTCTCAGTTCACAATTCGACCTTAATTAAAATGTCCTGACCCTGAAGCGATTGATAAGGTCGTATCGGGTGAACAATTCATGCACCATGAATTTCAGAGCGTGTTCTCCGCTAGCTTCATTAAGCGCAAAAACATTAAATGACCAAGTATCCACGTCCTGCGGAGAGAAGAGACAACACAATTAGACTTTTGCTTAATTTCCTTTTCATATTTTCATCATTCATTGAAATTTTTGTCTGGTCTGTACCTTTAAAGTGGATATCACTCCTGACGGGTAATTTAGTCCAATCATGTTTGACGTTCTTCGGTACATCCTTGAATTTAAAATAAGCATAATGTTTAAAGCAGGCATCAGTTAACATAATAGGATAATAGCAGTCTCAGCTTTTATGCTGTCTTCCTCCACCCTAACCCTTAACCCCCTGCCTCCTCCACTCATCAACCGATCTACTGAAACCTCTTCCCAATGCTCACCTCCTGGATGAGTTACAAATCATTGTTTTGACATTTTTCACCGAACCCATGCTATTTCTCTTACTTCCCCAGAACCACACATTTTTCCATTTTATGAAGGACATTGAGTTTTTAAGGATTAATGCAAGAGTCGATAGTTTCATTACTTAAAAAAAATCGCCCAGAGAAAATCTGAGCAACTTCACATTTATAAGAGTTACAAACAGTGGGTTAAAAAGAACCCTTACAGGTACGTTTCCAACTTACCTCTCTACAAAAATTCCGGCTTGAACGGCGTGGACAATGCTGCGAAATCTGGGCTTTTCTTCCGGCCTTCTCCTCATCACCCCCATTTTCCGCGAGAAGGTTGATGCCAGCCAGTCTCGCACTTCTGACGGAACTGAACCTGCTTGGATGTCGCTGAGCTCATCTTCTGTGTCCAAGAGACGTCTGGTGGGAGATTTCAAAAAAACAGAGAGGACAAAGCGAAATGTTAGACCTAGAAGAATAAGTGGTTTGCTCATTACAAAAATAAGTGTGGCAGAACACAATCTAGACCAGAGACAGCCATTGCAAACACACATATTAACAAAGTCATCTATTTCTTCTGACGAAACGAGGCAAAGCTATTCAATTTAGTGTAAATACATGTCCAGGGACCACTTCTCTTAACTCACGATGCTTAGCCTTCAAGTTTCATTGCAAATGGTTTATGGAACCTATCGAAAGGCAATAGTGGTGGAGCCACAGTCAACATTATATACTGCGATTCCTCTAGATCAAAATGCAATGGTAATATTACTCACCTCGTCTCATCAATGTAAACTGCTTCCAGCACGGATGCTGCATATTCAATATTCTTCCTTAACTCGATCACATTCACCTCACCTTTCTCCAGCTGCTTCACAAGGCATCTTAATCTAAAATGGAAAATCACAATACAATTTACACTTACGTAGCTTCTTTCACATCGGGAGGATGTCTCAAAGTGCTGGCAAATGCTGGATTGTCAGCTGGTACTGTTAAATTACATTACAGATATTTGATTAACGAAATTGAATTAATTATAATAATTACGGTCTTTGTATTTGGTATACTGCCTTTCTCATTGGGAGGGTGTCTGAAAGTGCTTTATAGGAACTATTGTAAAGTGTAGTGACTGTGTATTTTATAGGCGAATGCCTATGGATGCTATTCTTATATTTTTAGAAGGTTCATTTAAAATAAAATTAATATTTAATTTTGAATCTCAAGCCTGGAAAGTGGAATGATTTATCTGTCACAGATAATCTTCTGTGAACAATGAATGGCTTCTGGAAAAATACAAGAACACATTTTCAGGGATTTCAGAAATGTTTTTCAAAATGCTTACATTTTAGGCCTCAGTTGAAAGCATTTTCCTCCTGTAATATTTTGTCGAGGGGAAAGACTATGAATTTAACTTAGAGATATTGACAATTATGATGAGTGTAAATGAAGCTGAGTTGACAGGTATAATATAGATATATTATATGTAGAACAGATTAAAATACCCATCACTCTTATGAAAGGCAGGAAACTCAGACTGTTATGGTTCAGTATCATTCTGTTCTGACAAAATAATACTAATAATAATCCTTGCATTTGGTATAGCACCTTTGAGATGCCTCAAAGCGCTTTACAGAATATACTGTAAAGTGTAGTGACTGCATGTTTTGTGGGCGAAAATTCAATTGAGTTAGACTGACATGATGTGCTGACATGCTGATTCAGTCTTTATCGTCTCTTGTCTGTACAGATGCTTACTTACTGTGTTCCCTTTGCACAGCGAAAAATTGCCAAAACAGATCAGTTTGTGATTAGAGTCTGACCCTAACAACAAGAATTGGCAACAAACACTGTAGAAATATATCCTTGTTCGAATAAAACATTTCAACACTCTACAACAACCGTAATTTGTTTCATTGAAAATATGAGGACTATTGCCATGATAAGTATTTGCATCTTAACCCGATGTATAACACGGTTCAATAAGGTTTACAATAAATCAATAAACATTGACCAGCAAAAAAAACTAATTGCTTCACGGCTGCTCTCAAGGTAATTAACAGCACAAGAGCATGTCGAGTCAGTGATTTAAACATTCGCAATATCGGCACTTGGTCGAAACAGAATGATACTGAACCATAACAGTTCTGGGTTGCCAGCCTTGTGTAAGTGTACTTTTGAAATTATAATTTTCAAACATTCTTGCATTTGATATAAAGACATTCATGTCAGGAGGTGATCTCAAAATGCTGCACAGGATTTTCCTGTAAAGTGTAGTGAATGTGTATTTTGAAGGCAAACTATAGGCAGACGGGTTGAAAGAAAAGATTCAGTGAAGAATACAGATCTGGCAACAGGCAGCAAGGGAATCGTTGCTTCTGCACCATTGGACAAGAAATTATGAGCACAAACATAATGCTTTACACATTTGAAAAACAATATCGTTGCTAGACTTGAAAACTAACATTGATGAATTCCTCATACTGGAGCAATTAACTGCTCATTGCATTTATAAACACTAAACAGTTTAAAAGCATACTTTCCGACTCCAGGAGAAACTCATTGGCTTTCCAGTTTTGATGTTTTGATGTTGCTGTGCTAAAAGGAAAGATGTTTATCTTTCCCATTAAAGATCGAAATAAGTTTCCTTTTATGAACAAAAGTTGAATCAGAACATTTTTATTTATTCATTTTAAGTAATAATAAATATTAAAAAAATATTGATTTGGGTTTTTGCTGTTGGCTCAAGGTATCAAATGAAAGCAGTCCCTGACATGGAGTTTACGATTTGGAATAATACAGTTCAGAAATAGGCCATTTGGCCCATCAAGTCTATGCTGGTGTGTTTTCTCCACTGATCTAACCCCAGTCTCCTGCTCACTCTGAATCCCTTAACATATGATTACTACGTTAAATACAAACAGCCAAGTTCAATTTAAAAACAAAATACTGCTGTATTGTGGCCCTCTTCAAATTAACTTAACAGAAGTTATTGTTGACTTTTTTTCTGGATTTCTCAACACTTTCAACAGAGAGTCGCACAGTGGCACATCATCATTTGATAAATCAAAGGTGCAGCATTCACGTACTTCCCTCACACACCCTGCATTTATTCCCCTCACTTACTGCATTTCAAATGTCATGTGTGGATTGATTGATTTAGTTATCGTATTGGATGAATGCCATCCAAGGATGTTGCATTATTCATAAATCATTTAAACGTACTGTATTCAACAACAACAACAACAACAACAAGATTCCATTTATAAAGCGCCTTTCACGTCAGGAGGACGTCCCAAGGCGCTGCACAGTTGGGTCATGACCCGAGCAGGGGGGAAATGGTCAGGGGGAGGGAAGGGAGGGAGCGAGGAGGGGGGAAATGGTCAGGGTGAGAGGAGGGAAGGGAGGGAGCGAGGAGCGGGGAAATGGTCAGGGTGAGGGGAGGGAAGGGAGGGAGCGAGGAGGGGGAAGAGAGTCGAGAGGGGAGCTGAAGGCACGGTCAAAGAGAAAGGTTTTGAGACCGGCCTTGAAGGAGGAAAGGGAGGAGGCGGCGAAGGCACTGGGGGATGGAGTTCCAGAGCCTGGGGGCTGAGAGGCTGAAGGCCCGACCACCGATGGTAGGGCGGTTGGGGCGGGGACGTGGAGCAGACCAGAGCCAGAGGAACGGAGGGTACGGGCAGGTAGGTAGGGGGTATTCACCAGTATAAGGCTCTGAAATGCGCTTATCCATTGAAAAAATTCTCCTGGAGCTGTAACAAAAGGGTATTTTATTTCTGTGTGAGTCTATGAAATAAAAGGACCCACAATAATCCCAATTTGGAGATCAGCCACCTTGTGGTGAATTTTGGAACATTTAAAAGTTCTATTCAGTAATTGAACAGTCAAAAGATCGGGTGATTTCATGAAATAAGCATTTATCCATAAAATTCAACATTATTAATGATACAATGTGGTTAAATACTTGTTTTGATGCATCCGGACAATTTTAATTTTAATCAACAGACTTCAATTGAATGACAATCAGTGGGTTGCTGGAAAGCCGATTGAGATCGACTGATTCTGTACACTTTCAGTTCATGTTCTGTGACAATGATAAACATGTAATAGTGCAGTGATATAACCATATATATATAGCTTCCTGGAGCTCTTAGATTATTGAGCAAACCCCTCAGACTGCTAATCTATATTTTATACGACCTGTTTTCCATAAGACATTTTGGGGCGGACATGTTTGAGCCCACACATTAGTATGAATGACATCTCTTCTGACCTTCAGAAAACTTACAAGCTGCTCTTGTCAAAACCTCAACTGCAATAAATTGAAGCTGGGAGTAGAATTCCAACCTGCCATTAGATCAGTAGACAGTGAATCTCACATAGTGAGGAAGGCAATAACAAAATTAATAAGACCATGGTCAGATATGGAAGCATGAGAAATTATGATTGTTTCAATACTAATCTTTGTGCGCACAAGTATTACCGATATTAGAAAAAAATGATTTAAGGGCATCTTCATCAAACTTAAGTGATTAAGCTTCAACAAAATGAATCCCTGCTCATAAAATGAAGGTCACGACTGAAAGCTTTAGCGAGATTTTAAAAGGAACGCACTTTGCCAACACCAGTCAAATCTGATACATTCTGTGTAGTGATAGTAATCTTTACATTTGAGTGCTTTACTGGCTTGTACTGTAAAATTTAATGACCGCATTTTAGGCAAACGTACTGTCACGGTATCTTTAATGTCCAATTGAACAAGTAGTGAGGACCTTGGTTTAACTTCTCATGCAAAGGACAGCACTCCTGACAACGCAGCATTCCCCCTGTATTGCTGTCAGCCCAAACCACAAACTCAAAATCCTGATGCAGTGCTTGGACCCACAACCTTCTGGCTCAGAAACAGGAGCGCTAACAACTGAGCCAATGCATTGCTGACAGCATAAAGATCCGTACCTGAACTCTACACATTTCACTGTAGAGACAGATATTCGGATTATTATTATATTATTATAGTATTTGTTAAGCTCCTCTGAATGGGTTATAAAATCACACTCGCTTTGCCTGCTTATCAATCTGTATGTTTTGAATTTCCCTGTAGTCACTTCACAATCTTAATTAAAGAAATTATCTGTTCCTTGGCACAATTTAAGTTGCTTGCGTTTTAACAGAAACAATTCCTCTTGGAGAAAAAAGCAATTTAATAAACTCCCAGCTAATGATATCAAACAGAGATCCCATCTACCTCTCCAAGTGGACGTTAAAGATCACTTGGCATTATACGAAGACGAGTTTAATAATAATAATCCTTGCATTTGATATAACTCTTTATTACGTCTTTGGGATGTCTCAAAGCGCTTCACAGAATACACTGAAAAGTGAATTGACTGTGTATTTATTGTGGGTGAAATGCAGCAACTAATTGTCAAACAGTCGTGGATTGAGTGACCAAATTATTACTATTATTATTTTTTTTCTCCCATAAGTTTCTCCAGTTATCCTGGCCAACAATCCCACATATAAAAAAAAATTGGTCAATCGCTTTGTAGGATACTGTTGTTTACAAATTGGTTCCACGTTCTCCGACAGTTACACAGTCACTACACTTTACAGGAAAACTCTGCGAAGCGCTTTGAGACTTAATAATGCGCTACATCGAATTATTATTGTTGTTATAGATCTCACCCAACATCCCAGACAGGCACAGAGGTCACCGAATAACAGTCAGCAAACTGTACTGATATGAAAATGGGAAACAAGCAAATCTGCCAAATTGTACCACTAACCATCAATGGCATTTGCAGCTATCTCCATGAAATAGTAGTGGTTTGGCTGAAACTCGTGCAAGTAAAGGCCTGAAACATCATTAAGAGTTAAGCCTCCCTCTCCCACATGT